AAGCTGAAGGAAGTGGCTGAAGCATGCTTATAAGCTGAAGGAAGTGGCTGAAGCATGCTTATAAGCTGAAGGAAGTGGTTGAAGCATGCTTATAAGCTGAAGGAAGTTGCTGAAGCGTGCTTATAAGCTGAAGGAAGTGGCTGAAGCATGCTTATAAGCTGAAGGAAGTTGCTGAAGCATGATTATAAGCTGAAGGAAGTGGCTGAAGCGTGCTTATAAGCTGAAGGAAGTGGCTGAAGTGGGCTTATAAGCTGAAGGAAGTTGCTGAAGCATGATTATAAGCTGAAGGATGTGGCTGAAGCATGCTTATAAGCTGAAGGAAGTGGCTGAAGTGGGCTTATAAGCTGAAGGAAGTTGCTGAAGCATGATTATAAGCTGAAGGAAGTGGCTGAAGTCTGCTTATAAGGTGAAGGAAGTGGCTGAAGTGGGCTTATAAGCTGAAGGAAGTTGCTGAAGCATGCTTATAAGCTGAAGGAAGTTGCTGAAGCATGATTATAAGCTGAAGGAAGTGGCTGAAGTGTGCTTATAAGGTGAAGGAAGTGGCTGAAGCGTGATTATAAGCTGAAGGAAGTTGCTGAAGTGGGCTTATAAGCTGAAAGAAGTGGCTGAAGTGTGCTTATAAGCTGAAGGAAGTGGCTGAAGCATGATTATAAGCTGAAGGAAGTGGCTGAAGCGTGCTTATAAGCTGAAGGAAGTGGCTGAAGCATGATTATAAGCTGAAGGAAGTTGCTGAAGCGTGTTTATAAGCTGAAGGAAGTGGCTGAAGCGTGCTTATAAGCTGAAGGAAGTGGCTGAAGCATGATTATAAGCTGAAGGAAGTGGCTGAAGCATGCTTATAAGCTGAAGGAAGTGGCTGAAGCATGCTTATAAGCTGAAGGAAGTTGCTGAAGTGGGCTTATAAGTTGAAGGAAGTGGCTGAAGCATGCTTATAAGCTGAAGGAAGTGGCTGAAGCATGCTTATAAGCTGAAGGAAGTTGCTGAAGTGGGCTTATAAGCTGAAGGAAGTGGCTGAAGCATGATTATAAGCTGAAGGAAGTGGCTGAAGCGTGCTTATAAGCTGAAGGAAGTTGCTGAAGTGGGCTTATAAGCTGAAGGAAGTGGCTGAAGCATGCTTATAAGCTGAAGGAAGTTGCTGAAGTGGACTTATAAGCTGAAGGAAGTTGCTGAAGTGGGCTTATAAGCTGAAGGAAGTGGCTGAAGTGGGCTTATAAGCTGAAGTGGCTGAAGCATGATTATAAGCTGAAAGAAGTTGCTGAAGTGGGCTTATAAGCTGAAGGAAGTGGCTGAAGTGTGCTTATAAGCTGAAGGAAGTGGCTGAAGCATGATTATAAGCTGAAGGAAGTGGCTGAAGCGTGCTTATAAGCTGAAGGAAGTGGCTGAAGTGTGCTTGTAAGCTGAAGGAAGTGGCTGAAGCATGCTTATAAGCTGAAGGAAGTTGCTGAAGTGGGCTTATAAGCTGAAGTGGCTGAAGTGTGCTTATAAGCTGAAGGAAGTGGCTGAAGCATGATTATAAGCTGAAGGAAGTGGCTGAAGCATGATTATAAGCTGAAGGAAGTTGCTGAAGCATGCTTATAAGCTGAAGGAAGTGGCTGAAGCGTGATTATAAGCTGAAGGAAGTTGCTGAAGTGTGCTTATAAGCTGAAGGAAGTTGCTGAAGTGGGCTTATAAGCTGAAGGAAGTGGCTGAAGCATGATTATAAGCTGAAAGAAGTTGCTGAAGTGGGCTTATAAGCTGAAAGAAGTGGCTGAAGTGTGCTTATAAGCTGAAGGAAGTGGCTGAAGCGTGCTTATAAGCTGAAGGAAGTGGCTGAAGCGTGCTTATAAGCTGAAGGAAGTGGCTGAAGCATGATTATAAGCTGAAGGAAGTTGCTGAAGCGTGTTTATAAGCTGAAGGAAGTGGCTGAAGCGTGATTATAAGCTGAAGGAAGTGGCTGAAGCATGATTATAAGCTGAAGGAAGTGGCTGAAGCGTGCTTATAAGCTGAAGGAAGTGGCTGAAGCATGCTTATAAGCTGAAGGAAGTTGCTGAAGTGGGCTTATAAGTTGAAGGAAGTGGCTGAAGCATGCTTATAAGCTGAAGGAAGTGGCTGAAGCATGCTTATAAGCTGAAGGAAGTTGCTGAAGTGGGCTTATAAGCTGAAGGAAGTGGCTGAAGCATGATTATAAGCTGAAGGAAGTGGCTGAAGCGTGCTTATAAGCTGAAGGAAGTTGCTGAAGTGGGCTTATAAGCTGAAGGAAGTGGCTGAAGCATGCTTATAAGCTGAAGGAAGTTGCTGAAGTGGGCTTATAAGCTGAAGGAAGTGGCTGAAGTGGGCTTATAAGCTGAAGTGGCTGAAGCATGATTATAAGCTGAAGGAAGTTGCTGAAGTGGGCTTATAAGCTGAAGGAAGTGGCTGAAGTGTGCTTATAAGCTGAAGGAAGTGGCTGAAGCATGATTATAAGCTGAAGGAAGTGGCTGAAGCGTGCTTATAAGCTGAAGGAAGTGGCTGAAGTGTGCTTGTAAGCTGAAGGAAGTGGCTGAAGCATGCTTATAAGCTGAAGGAAGTTGCTGAAGTGGGCTTATAAGCTGAAGAAAGTGGCTGAAGTGTGCTTATAAGCTGAAGGAAGTGGCTGAAGCATGATTATAAGCTGAAGGAAGTGGCTGAAGCATGATTATAAGCTGAAGGAAGTGGCTGAAACATGATTATAAGCTGAAGGAAGTGGCTGAAGCATGATTATAAGCTGAAAGAAGTGGCTGAAGCGTGCTTATAAGCTGAAGGAAGTTGCTGAAGTGGGCTTATAAGCGGAAGGAAGTTGCTGAAGTGTGCTAATAAGCTGAAGGAAGTGGCTGAAGCATGCTTATAAGCTGAAGGAAGTGGCTGAAGTGTGCTTATAAGCTGAAGGAAGTTGCTGAAGTGGGCTTATAAGCTGAAGGAAGTGGCTGAAGCGTTCTTATAAGCTGAAGGAAGTGGCTGAAGCGTGCTTATAAGCTGAAGGAAGTTGCTGAAGTGTGCTTATAAGCTGAAGGAAGTTGCTGAAGTGGGCTTATAAGTTGAAGGAAGTGGCTGAAGCATGCTTATAAGCTGAAGGAAGTGGCTGAAGCATGCTTATAAGCTGAAGGAAGTTGCTGAAGCGTGTTTATAAGCTGAAGGAAGTGGCTGAAGCGTGCTTATAAGCTGAAGGAAGTGGCTGAAGCATGATTATAAGCTGAAGGAAGTGGCTGAAGCGTGCTTATAAGCTGAAGGAAGTGGCTGAAGCATGCTTATAAGCTGAAGGAAGTTGCTGAAGTGGGCTTATAAGTTGAAGTGGCTGAAGTGGGCTTATAAGCTGAAGGAAGTTGCTGAAGTGGGCTTATAAGCTGAAGGAAGTTGCTGAAGTGGGCTTATAAGCTGAAGGAAGTTGCTGAAGTGTGCTTATAAGCTGAAGGAAGTTGCTGAAGTGGGCTTATAAGCTGAAGGAAGTGGCTGAAGCATGCTTATAAGCTGAAGGAAGTGGCTGAAGCATGCTTATAAGCTGAAGGAAGTGGCTGAAGCATGCTTATAAGCTGAAGGAAGTGGCTGAAGCATGCTTATAAGCTGAAGGAAGTTGCTGAAGCATGATTATAAGCTGAAGGAAGTGGCTGAAGTGTGCTTATAAGCTGAAGGAAGTGGCTGAAGTGTGCTTATAAGCTGAAGGAAGTGGCTGAAGTGGGCTTATAAGCTGAAGGAAGTTGCTGAAGCATGCTTATAAGCTGAAGGAAGTGGCTGAAGCATGATTATAAGCTGAAGGAAGTTGCTGAAGCATGATTATAAGCTGAAGGAAGTAGCTGAAGTGGGCTTATAAGCTGAAGATAGTTGCTGAAGCATGCTTATAAGCTGAAGGAAGTGGCTGAAGCGTGATTATAAGCTGAAGGAAGTTGCTGAAGTGTGCTTATAAGCTGAAGGAAGTGGCTGAAGTGTGCTTATAAGCTGAAGGAAGTGGCTGAAGTGGGCTTATAAGCTGAAGGAAGTTGCTGAAGTGGGCTTATAAGCTGAAGGAAGTGGCTGAAGCATGATTATAAGCTGAAGGAAGTTGCTGAAGTGTGCTTATAAGCTGAAGGAAGTGGCTGAAGCATGCTTATAAGCTGAAGGAAGTGGCTGAAGCATGCTTATAAGCTGAAGGAAGTGGTTGAAGCATGCTTATAAGCTGAAGGAAGTTGCTGAAGCGTGCTTATAAGCTGAAGGAAGTGGCTGAAGCATGCTTATAAGCTGAAGGAAGTTGCTGAAGCATGATTATAAGCTGAAGTGGCTGAAGCGTGCTTATAAGCTGAAGGAAGTGGCTGAAGTGGGCTTATAAGCTGAAGGAAGTTGCTGAAGCATGATTATAAGCTGAAGGAAGTGGCTGAAGCATGCTTATTAGCTGAAGGAAGTGGCTGAAGTGGGCTTATATGCTGAAGGAAGTTGCTGAAGTGGGCTTATAAGCTGAAGGAAGTTGCTGAAGCATGATTATAAGCTGAAGGATGTGGCTGAAGCATGCTTATAAGCTGAAGGAAGTGGCTGAAGTGGGCTTATAAGCTGAAGGAAGTTGCTGAAGCATGATTATAAGCTGAAGGAAGTGGCTGAAGCGTGCTTATAAGCTGAAGGAAGTGGCTGAAGTGGGCTTATAAGCTGAAGGAAGTTGCTGAAGCATGCTTATAAGCTGAAGGAAGTTGCTGAAGCATGCTTATAAGCTGAAGGAAGTGGCTGAAGCATGCTTATAAGCTGAAGGAAGTGGCTGAAGCGTGCTTATAAGCTAAAGGAAGTGGCTGAAGCATGCTTATAAGCTGAAGGAAGTGGCTGAAGCATGCTTATAAGCTGAAGGAAGTGGCTGAAGTGGGCTTATAAGCTGAAGAAAGTGGCTGAAGTGGGCAAACCCAGAAACAACCTTAAAAGATTAAGTTATGGATTATCAATATGAAAGAAATACTTACTGAGCTGGTTCAATTACCTTACATTATAAATTATTTAGAAGATTATAAATTACTTAAAAGTTTATATAACTTGCCTTAGAGCAAACCACAATTTACCTGGAAGATCCCCTTGCTCAAACGAGGGTTTGGCCCATTTTTCAAATCCTCCGCACAGAAACCCTCCGTTGAACTCTCTTATGTAGATATTTGCATCTGGATCTCTTATAGCTGTTAAGAAATATAACGTTATTAGGATAACAGTACTGAAAATTCTTCAGAATATCAATATGTAGATTTATCCCTTCAAGACAAGGGAGAAAATAGAGGCACAGTATGTTGTAGACAAATGTTATTAAAATACAATACAAACTTGCTAGGAAGTAAGGATACATAGGAGTCACAAGTGTAGAGTATGCTATGCCAAGATTGTCTTACATCCCCCATTGATCAGTGTTACAGTGGATGGCATATGAGAGTATCGTGATAACTGCACACTATCACAGAAAAGTGCATGCACATGATTGGTATATATTTGAAGTAGAGTACTATAGCTATATCAAACTTGATATATGTAGATTACACACATCTCCATGAGGAGGCTATGGGATACACATCAAAGACAAATGGGAAACAAATGCAATTCAAGTCAATGAATTGATGTGGAAAGAGAGACGCTGATGACACAAATGAATCAGGGCAACTGGAGAAGCACTTCAAGCTATTATTAAGTTTAAATATTGCACCTGGAATGTGTGTGAGTGTGTAATAAAAGGGGACAGTTTTCAAGGGTTGAGAATGTGACGGGTGTGGGCAGGCAAGTGTGTGGTGGCAGGAGGCTCTGGTTACCAAAAAACCCAATATGAAGGAATACAGCTTAGAGGGAGGGGGGGGGGGATAAGCGTGTGTGGTGGTACATGGAGAAATATGGAACAATTCCTACTATGAACACCATTAAAAACATTAATCGCTAACATTCTGTAATGTTTTGGCTGGTATCATAACAATAATAATCATGGAAGTCTCATTTTCTGTCTTACTTCCATCATCAAGGAATATATATAATAATAAATAAATAAATAAATAAATGTTTATTTAGGTAAGGTACATACATACAAGAGATTTTACAAAGATTGATGGATTTATAGATAGAGCTAGTACATACAATGCCTAAAGCCACTATTACGCAAAGCGTTTCGGGCAGGTCATCGTTTCAGTCATTATATTATTTAATAATATAATAGTTCATTGTGTCGGGGGACAGGAAGCCAGCGTGTATTCATACATGTTAGCCTTTATCCAGGTTCCCCCTCCCCCCCCCCTCTCCATGGTTGAATTACTGACCCCGTCTAGGATACAACCCCACAACAAGCTTACTAATTCCTGGGTATCTACTTACTGCTAGGTGAACAGAAGCATTAGGTGGAAGGAAACGTCCCCAACCATTTTTGCCCCGCCCATAATTCGAACCCAAAATTCTCGATTGTGTGTGGAGAACGAACTCGACTGTACTACCGGGACCCTTATAACTGCCACCTTAACCTTCGTCAACTGTAGATATCATGGCCAGGACCTTCAAGGGCATCCCCGCAAGTCATTACCCCATACCACTGGTCATTTATTAACAAGCATCTACTTTCTTTATTCCTATTAGCTTCTCTCACTTATGCCATTATAATTCTCAATCCATTCTCTATTTATTTTCACTTTCTCTCATTAATCCATATTTTCTCTCTTTAGAAATTTTAACTGCTTGTAGCCCCTTTCGTTGCTCTCGTGTTCTGGCAATACAAGCCAGGTGTTGCTTTCTGACACTGAGGAAGGCACACGCTCCACACCTTACTCTCAGGATGAGGAAGAACAGAAAATAAACGTTCCCAACCCAAACACGGAATATGGGGCCATTTTCAGCTGTGGGCAGTAAAGTTAACACATCTCACTCTCAAACCAGTACATAATATAATCAGTACTGTATACACAAGTCAAAACAGTCTACAGTAGAGTGTAAATAATCAAAACAGCATACAATACAGTCAGTGAATATATGAATATAATCAAAACAGCATTCAATATAGTCAGTACTATATACACTGTTAAAACAAAAAAGCATACAGTAGTCAGTATAAACACATTCAAAACCTCCCTACCTGGCATCATAGGATCTATTCCTTCAAGTGGTTGAGTGTAAAGGAAATAATGTTCCGCAGGATGAACTGGCACCTTAACACGAGGTTCAGACATCAGGCCAAGTTTCCTTGCCCACATACCACCAGTATTTACCACATAGTCGCATTCTATCATACCCTTGCTGGTCTCGACGGCAATTACACGCCGATCATGCACAACAAAGCGTGACAGCTGGCATTCTTCCACCACCTGTGAGCCTGTTGATTATAGAACAACCCTTTAGTCTTCATTTCCTGTTTTATTCTTAAATTTATATACATATTTTATTCACAGCTGGTTTATTAATGATAAAATTTACAAATTCTATAATTACAGTATAGTAGTAGTATTGACCGGCAGCCTTCATCTTCGAGTCTACCATGAGTGAGATACAGCACTTGAAACACCTGACCAAGCACCACACAAGCACGGGTGAGGACGCTGGCCAAGCACCACACAAGCACGGGGCGAGGACGCTGGCCAAGCACCACACAAGCCCGGGCGAGGACGCTGGCCAAGCACCACACAAGCACGGGTGAGGACGCTGGCCAAGCACCACACAAGCACGGGTGAGGACGCTGCCCAAGCACCACACAAGCACGGGCGAGGACGCTGGCCAAGCACCACACAAGCACGGGCGAGGACGCTGGCCAAGCACCACACAAGCACGGGTGAGGACGCTGGCCAAGCACCACACAAGCACGGGTGAGGACGCTGACCAAGCACCACACAAGCACAGGGTGAGGACGCTGGCCAAGCACCACACAAGCCCGGGCGAGGATGCTGGCCAAGCACCACACAAGCATGGAGCGAGGACGCTGGCCAAGCACCACACAAGCATGGGCGAGGATGCTGGCCAAGCACCACACAAGCACGGGTGAGGACGCTGGCCAAGCACCCACACATGGGGTGAGGACGCTGGCCAAGCACCACACGGGCGAGGACGCTGGCCAAGCACCACACAAGCATGGGCGAGGACACTGGCCAAGCACCACACAAGCACGGGGCGAGGACGCTGGCCAAGCACCACACAAGCCCGGGTGAGGACGCTGGCCAAGCACCACACAAGCCCGGGCGAGGACGCTGGCCAAGCACCACACAAGCACGGGTGAGGATGCTGGCCAAGCACCACACAAGCACGGGCGAGGACGCTGGCCAAGCACCACACAAGCACGGGCGAGGACGCTGGCCAAGCACCACACAAGCCCGGGCGAGGACGCTGGCCAAGCACCACACAAGCACGGGTGAGGACGCTGGCCAAGCACCACACAAGCACGGGGCGAGGACGCTGGCCAAGCACCACACAAGCACGGGCGAGGACGCTGGCCAAGCACCACACAAGCACGGGCGAGGACGCTGGCCAAGCACCACACAAGCATGGGGTGAGGACGCTGGCCAAGCACCACACAAGCCCGGGCGAGGACGCTGGCCCAGCACCACACAAGCACAGGTGAGGACGCTGGCCCAGCACCACACAAGCCCGGGCGAGGACGCTGGCCAAGCACCACACAAGCACGGGTGAGGATGCTGGCCAAGCACCACACAAGCACGGGTGAGGATGCTGGCCAAGCACCACACAAGCACGGGTGAGGACGCTGGCCAAGCACCACACAAGCACAGGTGAGGACGCTGGCCCAGCACCACACAAGCACAGGTGAGGACGCTGGCCAAGCACCACACAAGCCCGGGCGAGGATGCTGGCCAAGCACCACACAAGCACGGGCGAGGACGCTGGCCAAGCACCACACAAGCATGGGGTGAGGATGCTGGCCAAGCACCACACAAGCTGAGGATGCCAAGCACCACACAAGCACGGGTGAGGATGCTGGCCAAGCACCACACAAGCACGGGGCGAGGACGCTGGCCAAGCACCACACAAGCACGGGGCGAGGACGCTGGCCAAGCACCACACAAGCACGGGTGAGGACGCTGGCCAAGCACCACACAAGCACGGGCGAGGATGCTGGCCAAGCACCACACAAGCATGGAGCGAGGACGCTGGCCAAGCACCACACAAGCACGGGGCGAGGACACTGGCCAAGCACCACACAAGCACGGGGCGAGGACGCTGGCCAAGCACCACACAAGCCCGGGCGGGGACGCTGGCCAAGCACCACACAAGCACGGGGCGAGGATGCTGGCCAAGCACCACACAAGCACGGGGCGAGGATGCTGGCCAAGCACCACACAAGCCCGGGCGAGGACGCTGGCCAAGCACCACACAAGCACGGGGCGAGGATGCTGGCCAAGCACCACACAAGCACGGGGCGAGGACGCTGGCCAAGCACCACACAAGCACGGGGCGAGGACGCTGGCCAAGCACCACACAAGCACGGGGCGAGGACGCTGGCCAAGCACCACACAAGCACGGGCGAGGATGCTGGCCAAGCACCACACAAGCACGGGCGAGGACGCTGGCCAAGCACCACACAAGCACGGGTGAGGACGCTGGCCAAGCACCACACAAGCACGGGTGAGGACGCTGGCCAAGCACCACACAAGCACGGGGCGAGGATGCTGGCCAAGCACCACACAAGCATGGAGCGAGGACGCTGGCCAAGCACCACACAAGCACGGGTGAGGACGCTGGCCAAGCACCACACAAGCACGGGTGAGGACGCTGGCCAAGCACCACACAAGCACGGGTGAGGACGCTGGCCAAGCACCACACAAGCATGGAGCGAGGACGCTGGCCAAGCACCACACAAGCACGGGTGAGGACGCTGGCCAAGCACCACACAAGCACGGGTGAGGACGCTGGCCAAGCACCACACAAGCACGGGTGAGGACGCTGGCCAAGCACCACACAAGCACGGGTGAGGACGCTGGCCAAGCACCACACAAGCACGGGTGAGGACGCTGGCCAAGCACCACACAAGCACGGGTGAGGACGCTGACCAAGCACCACACAAGCACAGGTGAGGACGCTGGCCAAGCACCACACAAGCATGGAGCGAGGATGCTGGCCAAGCACCACACAAGCACGGGGCGAGGACGCTGGCCAAGCACCACACAAGCACGGGTGAGGACGCTGACCAAGCACCACACAAGCACGGGTGAGGACGCTGGCCAAGCACCACACAAGCACAGGTGAGGACGCTGGCCAAGCACCACACAAGCATGGAGCGAGGATGCTGGCCAAGCACCACACAAGCACGGGGCGAGGACGCTGGCCAAGCACCACACAAGCACAGGCGAGGACGCTGGCCAAGCACCACACAAGCACGGGTGAGGATGCTGGCCAAGCACCACACAAGCACGGGTGAGGACGCTGGCCAAGCACCACACAAGCACGGGTGAGGACGCTGGCCAAGCACCACACAAGCACGGGGCGAGGACGCTGGCCAAGCACCACACAAGCACGGGTGAGGATGCTGGCCAAGCACCACACAAGCACGGGTGAGGATGCTGGCCAAGCACCACACAAGCACGGGTGAGGACGCTGGCCAAGCACCACACAAGCATGGGGTGAGGACGCTGACCAAGCACCACACAAGCACGGGCGAGGACGCTGGCCAAGCACCACACAAGCACGGGGCGAGGACGCTGGCCAAGCACCACACAAGCACAGGGTGAGGATGCTGGCCAAGCACCACACAAGCACGGGGCGAGGATGCTGGCCAACCACCACACAAGCACGGGGCGAGGATGCTGGCCAAGCACCACACAAGCATGGGGCGAGGACGCTGGCCAAGCACCACACAAGCACGGGTGAGGACGCTGGCCAAGCACCACACAAGCACGGGGCGAGGACGCTGGCCAAGCACCACACAAGCATGGGGCGAGGACGCTGGCCAAGCACCACACAAGCACGGGTGAGGACGCTGGCCAAGCACCACACAAGCACGGGGCGAGGATGCTGGCCAAGCACCACACAAGCACGGGTGAGGACGCTGGCCCAGCACCACACAAGCACGGGTGAGGACGCTGGCCAAGCACCACACAAGCATGGGGCGAGGACGCTGGCCAAGCACCACACAAGCACGGGGCGAGGACGCTGGCCCAGCACCACACAAGCACGGGGCGAGGATGCTGGCCAAGCACCACACAAGCACGGGGCGAGGATGCTGGCCAAGCACCACACAAGCACGGGTGAGGACGCTGGCCAAGCACCACACAAGCATGGGGCGAGGACGCTGGCCAAGCACCACACAAGCACGGGTGAGGACGCTGGCCAAGCACCACACAAGCACGGGGCGAGGATGCTGGCCAAGCACCACACAAGCACGGGTGAGGACGCTGGCCCAGCACCACACAAGCACGGGTGAGGACGCTGGCCAAGCACCACACAAGCATGGGGCGAGGACGCTGGCCAAGCACCACACAAGCACGGGGCGAGGACGCTGGCCCAGCACCACACAAGCACGGGGCGAGGATGCTGGCCAAGCACCACACAAGCACGGGGCGAGGATGCTGGCCAAGCACCACACAAGCACGGGGCGAGGACGCTGGCCCAGCACCACACAAGCACGGGGCGAGGATGCTGGCCAAGCACCACACAAGCACGGGTGAGGACGCTGGCCAAGCACCACACAAGCACGGGTGAGGACGCTGGCCCAGCACTACACAAGCACGGGTGAGGACGCTGGCCAAGCACCACACAAGCACGGGTGAGGACGCTGGCCAAGCACCACACAAGCTCGGGTGAGGACGCTGGCCAAGCACCACACAAGCACGGGTGAGGACGCTGGCCCAGCACCACACAAGCACGGGGCGAGGATGCTGGCCAAGCACCACACAAGCACGGGTGAGGACGCTGGCCCAGCACTACACAAGCACGGGTGAGGACGCTGGCCAAGCACCACACAAGCACGGGTGAGGACGCTGGCCAAGCACCACACAAGCTCGGGTGAGGACGCTGGCCAAGCACCACACAAGCACGGGTGAGGACGCTGGCCAAGCACCACACAAGCACGGGTGAGGACGCTGGCCAAGCACCACACAAGCACGGGTGAGGACGCTGACCAAGCACCACACAAGCACGGGTGAGGACGCTGGCCAAGCACCACATAAGCACGGGCGAGGACGCCGGAGAAGCAGCCACAATGAGCTGGATAACACCTAAGTGAACCCCCTCAACTTGAGCTATGCTCTCTTTCCCTCATCTCTTATAAGTAAGTCCTTTATGCCCTTTCTGTTGCTATTAATCTCATTTTTTCCTGTCTGAAAAGCCATTCTCCTCTGCAGTCACCATTGGGAGTAAGCACCAGGGAGCTACTGAGGGAAGCCTTCCTGAGGGGGAAGTCCTTGCCATATTGTTCACAACATCTTTACTGGGTCTAGTCTGGACTTCCTACTATATTGTTCACAACATCTTTACTGGGTCTAGTCTGGACTTCCTACTATATTGTTCACAACATCTTTACTGGGTCTAGTCTGCATTTTCTACCATATTGTTCACATCTTTACTGGGTCTAGTCTGGACATCCTACCATATTGTTCACTACATCATTACTGGGTCTAGTCTGCATTTTCTACCATATTGTTCACTACATCATTACTGGGTCTAGTCTGCATTTTCTACCATATTGTTCACTACATCATTACTGGGTCTAGTCTGCATTTTCTACCATATTGTTCACTACATCTTTACTGGGTCTAGTCTGGACATCTTACCATATTGTTCACTACATCATTACTGGGTCTAGTCTGCATTTTCTACCATATTGTTCACTACATCATTACTGGGTCTAGTCTGCATTTTCTACCATATTGTTCACTACATCTTTACTGGGTCTAGTCTGCACTTCCTACCATATTGTTCACTACATCTTTATTGGGTCTATTCTACATTTCCTACCATATTGTTCGCTACATCGACATGTAAGCCCCAAGAAGCTATCAAAAGACACTCTGGAATAGGGCATTTTATTACATTCAACACTTGATTTTGACTTACCTCAATAAAGGTGCACAAATTTGATGGCTAACAACAGCATAATACTTAAAAACTGTTTGATCAAACTCATTAATTTTCGAGCCTCTTAACTTTGTGAATGCACCAGATCAACATGGTAAGGGAAACTTCTCAAACTCTGTATTTATTCTCCCTTATATTCACATAACATTAAATTACTTCCAAAGAAAGGTAATACAAATCTTCAAGTTACAGTTCAAACAACAAATGTTGCGGTGCAATCTCTTACCGCGTTGTAACGCTAACTTGAGGAGAGTGTAAGTGAGCTTGTATGGGTCACACACACCATCTTCAGGCACCCACATTGCACCCACAACATCTGACGTGTTGAGAATATTACACTTCTGAGACACTTCCTCCGCTGTAAGGGTGTAACATTCCGTCCCTCGGGCTCTGCAAATATTAATTAAAATAATCCAAAATGTTGAGTGCGTTGAACAGTGTACAATCACACTTTAATAATAATAATAATAATAATGAGAAAATCAGTAGAACCCGTGATGAGGGTTCGAACCTATGCGGTGGGTGTTCCCATGCACACAACTTAATCAACTAGGCTACGACATGGTCAAATTGATTGCAACCTGAAGTTTTACTGAGCTCACAAGGGTTTCCTGAGGTTTCCACTGAAGCTGGAATAGGATTTTCACACAATCCCCCCCTGCACTCTGGCTCTGTCATCCAGGAATGCTCTACCTCTGATGCTCCTCTTTCAATACACAGAGTAATCACATTAACGTGATGTGTCAACGAGAAAATCGGTATGAGCCGTGATGAGGCTTGAAAGTGATAATGTTATGTTAATGCTTCAGCTTCCTGTGACACTTGTTATGTGTGAGTGAGTGGTGGGACTAAGGTGGTGATACTATCATTACTCTCAATGCCATTATTACTCTGACACTACTAACACCTATCTGTTCCATAATACATTTAAATGTACCAATTACTGCTCACAGGTGCTTGGCAAAGTGATCTAATAACACACACACACCCAGAACCCCAGTTAACAGAAGGGAGCAGGTAGATAGAAAGGGAACTGGATCACCCGAAACCAATTCAAAAATACACAAAAATACTAGAGCATGGGAAGACAATCCCATGAAGAGGTACAGTACATACAACAGACCCTGCACAGAGAACTCTGGCAGGAAAAGAACATGTCTTCCCCTCCCTCGAGAAAAAATAATCAAGCACAGAACTGGAGCCCAAGTAACACTTTGCAAAGGAAGAAGGGAGGAGCCCAGAACAGACCACTCCCCACAAACAAACAGGAAGCGAGAAAGCGGAAAAACCAGCCACCCAAGACAAGCGGAACAAAGTGGAAGCACACCCTCAAAAAACGAGGTACAGCACAGCAAAGGCCAAGGGCACAACAGCCAAGAAGCACAATGCCCACAGCCCAAGATGGAGCGGATCATGTCAGACCACCCAAAACACAGCAGTCTGCAACCATGGCAGGCTGCAACCATGCCTGTCTCTACTTCCTCATCACAATCGACTTGAGAATGGTCCAGGACGGACTGAAACGTCGTCGTCCCATCACCTTCTAGTGTGTGGTCTGGTCAAAATGGCAGGAAAGTAAAACTGAGGTAACCCCAGAACCCAGAGGGAAGAACAAGTGGTTGGCAAGTGAAAACCAAGGCCTTTGGTTTTCAGATCTTACCAAATATATATCTATTTTGGATTGTCTTCTTTATTCACTGGTCTCTTGAAGAACAGTTCTTTGCCCCATCTAAAGTACCTAATATAAAATGTCCAATATTTTTACTGTCAATGTTGGAAGCATATATAATTCATCAATAAATGTCAAAAGATCACTATATTGTATTTTTTGTCGTTTTGCTTTCCCTTCTTCTTCATGATCCTCTCTCGCCTCCATCCACCTTGCCAGTAACAGTCTAAACAATGTCATCCTCAGTCAGCAGTCATTAGCATCTTTTCTTAGCCAGTCTATAATATCCTGCTGCCTGCCTAAATCCTCACCAGTGTATCCAAAAATATCATGGTTCACAGCAGCATATCTTTCAAAACTTAAATTTTCTTCAATCTCATTAATAACTGGAACTGTTAGCATTTTCTCCCAATCATTCTTTGCAAATTACAAGAAATGGGCGAAAATGCAAACTTCTGCTTGGGAGAAAAATGCTAACTTCACCCAAACTTTGGATCCAAATATAATATACATTGCTTTGTTGACCAGACCACACACTAGAAGGTGAAGGGACGGCGACGTTTCAGTTCGTCCAGGACCATTCTCAAGTCGATTGTGAGAATGATCCAGGACGGACCGAAACGTCGTCGTCCCTTCACCTTCTAGTGTGTGGGCTGGTCAACTTACTTTAGCCACGTTATTGTGACTCATCGCCTGCATACATTGCTTTGTTTATTGCATATTTCTATCCATTTTAAAGGTTTTCCTGGTGTCCTCCTTCCTGATGCAGTAAAACAAGCAACACTTCCTTCAACATAGTATTGATGTACAACGTTTTGTAGCACCCAACTCCTTGATCCACGGGCTGGATGAGAGAGGTGGTATAAGGTGGTGGTGGTGCCATACATCTTATCTTACCACCACCTGCGGCTGTTTTCATAGTGAGGGGAACCGAGGCATTATCTAACAATATCAAAGCCTGAAATTGCTTATTTAATGTTCTCTTTAACTTCTTTACAAAACATATTGTAATATGAAACTAAGATAGAAATACGTGTTGTATAAGTAATGCATTTTTGCAATTATAATATTTAACTTCGTTTCTTCAAACAATTTTTCATACCTCTTGGTTTTACAACGTTTTCAATGACTGCAAGTGCTGTACTTCACTCACATGACCCACATCTGACAAGCTAAAGTTTTTTAGGCAAACCCTTCCAATATAAGCCAGTTTCATCATCATTTAAAGTGATCTCAGTTATAGATTGAAGTACGAATGGCACTGTTCTAGCCCCCCTGAACTATGTGAGAAAACATTTATACAGTATACCCGTTCATGTTTAACAAATTTGTTATCTTTTTATTCTAGCATTGTTAAGGCAGTTGATAGTGGTAAGGATTGCGATGTTGTATACCTTGACTTTAGCAAAGCTTTTGATACAGTGCCACATGAAAGACTGATTAAAAAAATAGAGTCTCATGGTATTGGGGGTGCTATATTAAGCTGGATTAGGGCATGGCTATACCAAAGGAAACAGAGAGTTAGTATAAATGGAATCAAGTCAGAGTGGGAAAATGTTGTAAGTGGAGTGCCTCAAGGCTCTGTCCTGGGACCTCTGTTGTTTATAATATATATAAATGATTTAGATTCAGGTTTGAGTAGCAACATTTGCAAATTTGCCGATGATACGAAAATCGGTAGGGTAATTAATTCGGATGAGGACTCACTATCACTTCAAGTTGATCTAGATAGGGTTTTGAAATGGTCAAAGGATTGGCAGATGCAGTTTAATGCTGATAAATGTAAAGTTCTGAGGTTAGGTAATGATGATAGAGTTACAAGATACGAGCTAGATGGTGTTGTGATTGCGAAGTCGGATTGCGAAAGGGATCTGGGAGTTATGATTAGTAAGAATTTAAAACAAAAGGATCAATGCATAAATGTTCGTAATAAGGCAAATCGGACACTTGGATTTATTAATCGCAGCGTTAGTAACAAGACACCTGGTGTGGTTCTCAAGCTATATCTTGCTCTAGTTAGGCCCCATTTAGATTATGCAGTTCAGTTTTGGTCGCCATATTATAGAATGGATATAAATTCACTTGAACATGTCCAGCGTAGGATGACTAAGTTAATTCCCCAAATTAGAAATCTTTCATATGAAGAAAGATTAACAAAGCTTAAGTTGCATTCACTGGAAAGGCGAAGAGTTAGGGGTGACATGATAGAGGTTTACAAGTGGATGATTGGACATAACCGGGGGGATATTAATAGGGTATTAAAAGTATCAACACAGGACAGAACACGAAACAATGGATATAAATTGGATAAGTTTAGATTTAGGAAAGACTTGGGTAAATACTGGTTCAGTAACAGGGTTGTTGATTTGTGGAACCAATTGCCGCGTAACATTGTGGAGGTGGGGTCCCTCGATTGTTTCAAGCACGGGTTGGACAAGTATATGAGTGGGATTGGGTGGTTATAGAATAGGAGCTGCCTCGTATGGGCCAATAGGCCTTCTGCAGTTACCTTTGTTCTTATGTTCTTATGTTCTTCTTATACAGAAGGTTCCTTATCATAGTAGGGCTCAAAGACGAGCCTGGCACATTAGTAGCAATCGGAGAAGACCCATGACCCTGGCTAGGGAAGCAACTGAGGGGGACATGTTCAAAGTTTGGGTTCCAAGGGAAGACAAGTATATACTGTACTGTGCTGTAGGAATATATTACTGTACCAGATGCAAAACAATTTTGGCTAAGAGGAAGGACAATTAACACATCACATGCAAAATGTTTTTATCACATTTTAAGACTAAAAACTACACAAACACAATACTGTACTCTAATTATTACATACTCGGCAATGGATTTCATTTTACGAAAGTGAGTCATTCTATCACGGGTACGAGCAAGATGAAGTCCACCACACCGCTTCCATCCCGTGTCATGTCCTGCTTCAGCCAATGCTCGCGCCAGTTCTTGACTCGACTGAAGAATACTCATTTCTGGTCTAATAAGTTTCACGCCACCAAGAAACCCCGATCCCCGCCAAGAGGACGCCCCACCAATTCTGCAAATATGCTTCAGTATGAGGAACATATATTAACATAATAAAATACCTTCAACCTTCCATGCATTCTTTCCACAAATCATGATTATTGCACTTTAATTATTGCAATATTTTATAAATGTTCAGGTTTTGGGCGAGAAATAATGACATTAAAGCACTTGCAGGTCTTGTTATTACCTTCCCTGCTCCAGCATAACAATATCCGTACTCCAGCCAAGCATTGCCAGATGATACAGTACTGAGGTGCCGACCATTCCGCCCCCGCACACTACCACCTTTGCCTTTTTGGGTAGTATTTCATCTAATGGTAATGTAGATGCTATAGTTGGCCCTATGCAAAGACAATATTAAGTTTATAAATAATTGTTTTACTAGCAAAACATACATATAATACTGTACACTTTAGAGATTAGACGTATTGGTATTGCCAGCAGCCTCCATTATTTTAAGGATATGTGAGCAGCACCACTCAATAACGTGAAGATGGCAGCCCAGGTCAACTGGGATTCAGCTACGTCATTCACCCACCTGGTCTAACCAGGACCACACCTCTCTCTTGGACTCACAAAGAACCTCACACTTTCAAATAGTATTGGCTGTCATTGTAACATTTTCATTCCTGCTATGTTTTGGTTCCATTTTTATTCACGCTATGTTTTAGTTCCATTTTCATTCCTGCTATGTTTTGGTTCCATTTTCATTCCTGCTATGTTTTGGTTCCATTTTCATTCCTGCTATGTTTTGGTTCCATTTTCATTCCTGCTATGTTTTGGTTCCATTTTCATTCCTGCTATGTTTTGGTTCCATTTTCATTCCTGCTATGTTTTGGTTCCATTCTCATTCCTGCTATGTTTTGGTTCCATTTTTATTCCTGCTATGTTTTGGTTCCATTTTCATTCCTGCTATGTTTTAGTTCCATTTTCATTCCTGCTATGTTTTGGTTCCATTTTCATTCACGCTATGTTTTGGTTCCATTTTCATTCCTGCTATGTTTTGGTTCCATTTTCATTCCTGCTATGTTTTAGTTCCATTTTCATTCCTGCTATGTTTTGGTTCCATTTTCATTCACGCTATGTTTTGGTTCCATTTTCATTCCTGCTATGTTTTGGTTCCATTTTCATTCCTGCTATGTTTTAGTTCCATTTTCATTCCTGCTATGTTTTAGTTCCATTTTCATTCACGCTATGTTTTGGTTCCATTTTCATTCCCGCTATGTTTTGGTTCCATTTTCTGTTTCTTGTTTATGTTCAGTGCCACTTGCCTTGCATGTGGTCTTGGTTATCTTGAGATTATCTTGAGATGATTTCGGGGCTTAGCGTCCCCACGGCCCGGTCCTCGACCAGGCCTCCTTTTTGTTACACACCCCCAGGAAGCAGCCCGTGACAGCTGTCTAACTTCTAGGTACAGGTACCTATTTACTGCTAGGTGAACTGTGGGCATCAGGTTGAAAGAAACTTTGCCCATTTGTTTCCGCCTCCACCGGGGATTGAACCCGGAACCCCAGGACTACGAACCCAAAGCGCTGTCCACTCAGCTGTCAGGCCCCATAGGTCAGGTCTATATTTTCCTCTTAAATACAACCAATGTGTTTTCCAGTTAAGAGGAATAACAGAATTAAAATTTAAAGCATCCATGAACGAAGGAAAGAAAAAACTGCATTAAAATCCTGTCCCATCCCTGATCAGCCTTGCTCTAGTGATTATGGTAGACACCAACAGTTTAGCTGATCAGTTCCCTCAAGCCAGAGACTGGGCTCCAGTGACAATAATTTTCATCTCTCATGATAAATCACAAGACAAACTTAAATGATTAAAATGAACAAATGGAAGAATAAGTCAGGTACTGTATTATGTATTATACTGTACTGTATTATGGAATTATACAGTATATTGTATATTGAATTAATACAAAATGTTTAAGATATTTAAACTCTGTATTTCAATTTCTATCACTTGACAATTTTAGTGGGTTACCTTCTTCATGGCCATGGTAATGGTACTCATGTGGAGGGTACCAAGAGCCCTTCAGAACCTCTGACTGCACCCCAGTGTGACAATGCCCGACGTGATGATGGGGATACACAGACCCTAGTGTTCTGCAGCGGTGGCTCACATTTCGGAACATGGCTGCTTCCCCTCCTCACCCTTGTAACTGACCTGTTTGGTGAAAAATCTTTATCGGAACAAGTTCTCCAAAAATCATCATTAATTCATTCTCTCTCTTTCCTCGTTACAATTTCGTGAACTAAACATGAATTCTCAAACTCATAATAAATACTTGTGAACCCTGGCTCTATCAAGTCAAACTAAGAGTTTAATCACAAGTGAACAAGTAAAGGCATCCCATCAATTATGTCAGTATCTCTTATGATACAAATAATGCAAAACACTGTAGAGTATTATAGAAAATATTGATGCAATGAGTGAGATTGAACTCGCATTTCAGTACTCCCTAGAAACACACACACTAACCACTGTACAATGATGGGCTTAAAAGTATTCTGATTTCATTGTACACTGTACGATAGTCTTAAAAAAATACAGATCTCATCTGAAATAAGCAATCTCAGATAATAACATTACAATTGAACGTTCAATTCCCAAAACTTCAAAATACTGTAATCTGAAACTATTTACAAATATTAAAAGCAAATGTCATACATTATCCAAAACCCAGTACTGAACTGTATCCGAGTAAAAGTACAGAAGTGAAAATTGTATAGTACAACATTGGAGAGGTTGTCAATAATTATTTAGCAGTAGTGAAACATTGGTACAATATAGGATGAAATTCTAACACCTCTTATGTTAAAGGGGCTTTTTGGAGATAACTTGGGAGCAAATAAACCAAGATCTCACAAAAACGGCTAAAACGGCTAAAAAATGTAAACCTAAACCAGTGCCTGGAAAAAATTAACTCAGTAGCACAGAAATATGCTCAAACCGCATACTGTATCACTAAGGTAAAAGAGGGAGAGATGCATATCGGAACAGGAACTCATTCTCATAGCGGACATAGACAAGGACACAAACTATAATACCGTATCATCCTTTGCAGATGACACTAGGATTTTTATGAGAGTAGACAACATAGAGGATGCAACAATCCTCCAATTAGATATAAATCAGGGCTTTTAATGGGCTGCAGAAAATAATATTGTATTTAATGAAGATAAGTTCCAGCTCATGCGCTTTGGAAAAAATGAAAATATATAAACGGAAACCACGTACAAAACTTAGTCAAATCATAACATTGAATGAAAAAGCAATGTAAAGGATCTGGGTGTACTCATGTCGGAAAACCTTACCTTTAAAGAACACAATAAAGTAGCCGTCACAACTGCAAGATAAATGACAGGTTGGATAACTGTTACGGCCCTCTCGGGACGCAACGGGGTTCTCACTCTGATGTTGTTAGAGGAAGATATATATATCCGTTCCCAAGCCAGTAGTGGCTATCAAGGGATGAGATCCGTGACGCAAGTAACTTAAAGGGAGTAGGGAAAGAAAGCTAAGAACTTAATATTATAATTGTTACCATCACCGATTAAATATATAAAATAAATGAGTGCACAAGGGGGAGGGGTATTAACACTTTTCAAGGGGATTAATCCTCAATCGATGTCTTCTGCTGAAGACGCTGGTGCCATAACTCTCGGTGCCGAGTCCTCGGTGCTTTCTTCGTGGCCTCACAACGTGTCCTCTGAGAATGCCGAGCCTACCCGGGCCACAGGTCAGCCAAAACACAGGTCCACTGGGGGCACCGCCGTGGAGGCCGTCAACCACACGTCCAGCTGGTCTGCTGGCAGGTTCTGAGCCAACAAGGCTGGTACGGCCACTCCACGAACGATAAAAGGGGAATGCCCTAGACAGGAGCCTCGTGTGACACCACAAATCACTCTCCTGTCTTCAGTACCCCAGTGGATGATCGTCTCCAACAGTCGGTCCCGGGTAAATCCTCTTACTGCCACTCCACTGGCAGGCTAACACACCACAGTGTTCTTCCGGGGGACGACTTCACAACAGCTGCAGCAACGTTCAAGGTATGGAGACTGGCTGCCTCGGGTAGACTGACTCCACTTTCATCACAGCAGTCCCAGGTCGGCTCTGTAAGCAGACACGTCATCAATAACTGGGACACTAAAACACCTCACTTACGGGCTCGGGCACAAACACCTGACGTATCCAGTCCATAGATGGCGCTGTCGTCGGAGCACCACCTCACCAGAGGTCAGAGGCGGCGGTGTAGAGTGCTGAACGGGACTGGAAACTGGCCCTCGTAGCTGATACACGGCATCCTCACCAGGTGTCGTCGTCGTTTGGCGGGGGGTTTCGGGAGCTGACCCACAGATGGCGCAGTCGTTACTACTCCGTGCTCGGACGCTGGATCCGGGTTCGTAACAATAACAAGAACCTTTCACACTAGAGATGCTATACCGATGATGATACTCTTCAAGACGCTAGTGCTCTCTAGGGTGGAGTACTGCTGCACAATGACAGCACCTTTCAAAGCTGGAGAAATTGCTGACCTGGAGAGCGTGCAGAGATCCTTTACTGCTAGAATCCACTCAGTAAAACATCTAAACTACTGGGACCGACTAAAGAGCCTAAATCTGTACTCCCTTGAGTGCAGGCGGAAGAGATACATAATAATTTACACGTGGAAAATAACTGAGGGGCTGGTCCCAAACCTGCACACAGAAATAACATCACATGAGACCAGAAGGCATGGCAGGATGTGCAGAATACCCCCGTTGAAAAACAGAGGTGCAACAGGTACTCTGAGTATCAAGTATTTGATACAAAATTGGAATCTGACCCAACTGTCAGATGGGTCAATCCATGTGTCGTGTTCCCAAAATGTGCAACCATGTTGGAATAGATGAATGCGCAAAGAATATTGTTGAAAACATCTTGTCTTATTAAATAAAAATTATTTATATGACAGAAGACAAACGTGATCCACCTGTAAAACCTCTAACAGAAAAAATATTTTAAGTAAAACCAAAGATATATGTAGTTGTATAAAAGTTGCATTCCCATCGCTCGCTAAACTCGTAATATGCAATATACATCTCAGAACAATGATCATTTTGCGCAGATATGTTAATAAATGTAAGAGTTAATAAACATTGATACTGAGGCCGTTTGGGGCCAAGATGGTCTCTCTTTACCTCTGGATGCTGGTGGCACTTCCTCTTTAATCTGTTCGCCTTACTGTGATCTTTACAGTCCAAGAAAAGTCCCTCTGGATCCTCCTCTAAGACCGAGAGACCATCTTGATCTAAATGCATGCCATGTAACAGTGGTTTCTTAAAACCTTCAAAGGTAGCGTGAATGTTGGAAGGACACGTTGTGCGCGCCTCTAACCGTCGCCACATTATCTCTACTTCTACTACAGCTAAAAATCCAGTTCGAAAACATTCTCAGGAATAGTTGGCTAACCTTTGATAAGTCTCAGGCTTCCTGTCCCCGTCGAGGTCACTAGATAATGGCCTACAGGTAAATTATCAAATTTATATCAACGAGTATGGGGTTCACAACAAACTACCCGCCGCTTATCAACACTAAAACAATGTGTGTTTACCTAAAGTTGCTAGAAACAAAAATATTGAGCGATTCTTCTGGAGGGTAAAGGTCAGGTCATCCAGGAACCTCTCGTGCCCGAGCCAAGCCGCGAATGGTCTCTCCAGTGTTTACACTCTTGTGCTCGAATCCGGATGGAGTCGCGAACGGCTTCTTTAGTGTTATTTATTTATTTATGTATTTATTTATTTATTTATTTATTTATTTATTTATTTATTTATTTATTTATCTATTTATTTACATATATATACAAGAAGTTAAATTGGGTTTATGAGAGTATATAGCATGATGTGTTTACATTCTTGTAAAGCCACTAGTATGCACAGCATTTCGGGCAGTGTTTACATTCTTGTCCGAGCATCCGGATGGTCGCGAACGGCTTCTTTAGTGTTATTTATTAATTTATTTATTTACATTTAATGTAATAATATAAGAAGGTACATTGGGTTTATGAGAGTACATAGCATGATGTGTTTACATTTTTGTACAGCCACTAGTACATACAGCGTTTCGGGCAGTGTTTACATTCTTGTCCGTGTATCCGGATGGAGTCGCGAACGGCCTCTCCAGTGTTTACATTCTTGTGTGCGCCGCCACCTCCTGTTGTTATGGTCACGGCCGCCGCAACAAACTCGTGACGAAGACGACATAATGGGTAGTCACGGGTCCCTGGTCCTTACCCACACGCACGCGGCTCTAATACCGTCTTAGGTAAGTGTTTCTTAAGTGGAGGACATGTAAAACAATGAAGGTTTGTCTTAATCAAACTTGTGCTGCTTATTTTGTCTTGCAATTATTCTGAACACACAGTAAAATTATCCCTTGTCATACAAATTTTGTCCACTGAGATTTGGAGAATTACTCCCAAATACGGTATATCTTTTAGTATTACGCATTTGCCTCAAATATTGTTAAATATTGGCATGCGATATTTTGTAGTTGTTGTTGTTATAGATTCAGCTCGGAACACAAAAGTTCCAAGTAGCACGGGCTATGGTGAGCCCGTAGTGGATTTGTATATTTTGTAAATTTACATTTCCTAGTATTAAATATTGCCTTAAAATTTATTTACTACTATCGTTGCATGGTCATGCATTAGTTTTAGGTCTTCCTAATGTTATGTTGACTTATTGGTCTTGTAAAATATATTTTTCATGTAAACTGTTACTCCAAATCAGAATGTATATATGTAGCCAATTTATACAAGCCATTAGAGCTGTTACTGGACTGAAGAGTTGTACAACCATAAAAACTTCTAGTTGACAATTAGGGCAAAAATTATTAAAACATTTAGTATGAGCATTTAAATCATGAAAGACGGCTACCAAAATATACTAATGTAATTCTGACCAGCTTTCACATACAGGCATACCTCAGTTTAAGAGTTTAATTGGTTCCTGGAGACGCCTCGTATTCCGAAAACTCGCATTCCGAAGCTAATTTCCCCATAAGAAATAAAGGGAAATGAATTAATCCGTTCCTGACTACCCCAAAAACCCCACATCAAACTAAATTTTTATACCTAATTCATCTAAATAAACCTACAAAACTATGTTCAAGTTATTACTTACCTTGCTGTTGAATGCTGTAGGCGTATGGAAGATGGTGAGGAGGTGGGAGGAGGAGAGGAGTTACTGTTTGGAAGGGGAGTCCCCTTCCATTATCACATCAGGCAGTGAGGACTTCACTGGTATGCACACTCTGGCACATTTTGCCTGCATACCACTAGGACTTGATTGTTTTACTAAGAATTTATCTAATGACACTTGTTTTTCCCTACATTTTAACACGTGTCTGTAGTAAGACATCACATTATCATTTAAAAGGTCAATGCAACGGCCTGCTACAGCCTTATCTGGGTGAGTCTTTTCAACAAAACTTTGCAGTTCTTCCCATACTTCACACATTTTCTTAATCAAGAAGGGACATCCTCTACTGCCTCTACTCACAGCTATTTTCTTATGTTGAACCTTACCAATGGCTTTCTTGAGACCCGTGGCAAGATATATAATGACAACTTTTATGCTCAAATGGCAAAAAAAACGATAAAAAACTGTGAATCCTTGTGAAGAATTCAGGTGGGATAGTCACTGGACACGAGACACTGGTAAACTGAGGCGCGATCGCCATGCCACCACGCGCCAGTCGGCCTGTACACGTATCAACAAACTCGCGTCCCGAGGTAACCCTCGCCTTCCGAGACATATTTTTGGAGTAAATCCTGCTCGTCTTCCGAAAAACTCGCATACAGGGACACTCGCATTCCGAGGTACCACTGTACACTTATATATATATATATATATATAAAAGTGTATGTGGAAGCTGGTCAGAATTACATTTCACCTTTGTAAATGCACGTTAATGACACTATGCACTATGTAAAAGACACAGCGAACACTTTATGTAGGGAATACGTAACTCTGTGTATCTGTATTTATGTCTGTAGGTTAGATTAGCATTTTAAAAGCACTACAGTCACCTTCTGTGGTTGATTGCTCAATAAATCACTGAACTATATGTTTAACAGATCTCTCACCCTGTCCCTGGAGGACAGAAGAAAATGTATATATGCTGGTTAGCATTGTAAATGTGTGACCACGTCTGTGGTAAAAAATAATAATAAAAAAAAATGAAGAAAACGGGTGGGACAACTTGAAAGGAAACACCTGCTCCTTATAGAGATGGTAATAAACACTTATCTAGAAGACCCGACACAAAGAGCGGAGGAGACGGTTGAACCTGGGGTGCCTGGCAGTTGAGTGGACAGCGCTTCGGATTCGTAGTCCGGAGGTTCTGGGTTCGATCCCTGATAAAGGCGGAGACAAATGGGCAAAATGTTTCTTTCACCCTGATGCCCCTGTTACCTAGCAGTAAATAGGTACCTGGGGGTTAAACAGCTGCTACGGGCTGCTTCCTGGGGGGATGTGTAACAAAAAGGAGGCCTGGTCGAGGACCGGGCCGCTGGGATGCAAAGCCCCTGAAATCATCTCAAGATAACCAGTGAGGTACGTCATTGGGCCAACTCCCTGAAAGGGGCAGATCTGTGGAAAAACGCCCAGGTTCAGACACTGAACAAGCAGCACCAGAAACCAAGACTGAGCAGACTGCAAGGAGCCAGAAGGAGCAACCACCTCTGGTAGGACTCCAACTGCCCCAGGACCCAGAGCAACAGTTAAACTAAGGGAAGAGGTACTGGAACCCCCCCCCCCCCTTGTCCCCCATCTCCCCATCTCTACCAAACCTGCAGAAAGGCATCCACTGCAAGAATCCCAAGGAACAGAGGCACATATAAAGGAAGGCACCAAAAGAGCACCAACATGAAGAGGATGCCTAACAGCTGAGTGAACAGCGCTTCGGATTCATAGTCCTGAGGTTCCAGGTTTGATCCCTGGTGGAGGTGGAGACAAATGGGCAAAAAGTTTCTTAAACCCTGATGCCAATGTTATCTAGCAGTAAATAGATATCTGGGAGTTAGACAGCTGCTACAGGCTGCTTCCTGGGGATGTGTAACAATAAAGGAGGCCTGGTCGAGGACCGGGCCGCGGGGACGCTAAGCCCTGAAATCATCTCAAGATAACCTCAAGATAGGACCATGTCTGGGTGCCTGAACGTCTCGCAAAGCCACAGGAAGAAGGTGGCATTGAAGGACCACCCTGTGGAAATTGGAAGAAACTGGGACAGACCAGCTGTGAGTATGACGGACACAAACTGGACATGAACTGTGCAGAGAGCAATACCCCAAGATCCCAGCAGAAAAGTTACATGAACTGTCCCGCTACAAATAGGCGGGGACCAAAGTGAGCCCCCCCTGCCCCCAGTTTGAGATGATGAACCACAGGGGGAACAGTCAGAATGGAGCCAAAGCACTGTGGAATCCAAACCTGCTACAGTGCTTGCCACAAGAACCGAAGCTCAAGTGGAGCCAGACACAGCTCAATGGGAGAATCTGAAAGCTACAAGCTTGCCACACCCAGAAGCAGAAACAAATCCTGAACCCAGGAACATGGGGACAAGCAAAGGCATGCCCCAGAAGTTCAGGGAGCACTCCCAAGTGACTGCCTCCAGAATGAGATGGACCTGGGACAGAGTGGCCATCCTGAACAAGGAGAAAGGAGCACACCGCTCCAGCTGCAAACCAGAGGTTGGCAAGAAGAAGAGGTCCAGCAAGGCCAGGTTCAGGACTGGGAAAAGGCCAATACAACCACACCAGTGGACACCCAATCCCAGATGACCCGATGGAGGCGAGACGAGAAGGCCCGCCAGGAAGACTCAAACTTGAGAAGGGACTGATAAACAACACCACAAGCGTGAAAAACTACCTGAAAAGTCTACAAAATATAGGACTAGGTGACAAACTGGGCAAGCAGTCCTCCCCATGTCCCACTGAGTAGAGGACCCGGGCATGAAGCTGCAGGAGACCATGACCTGAGACGAATAGGGGTAAACAGGCAGCCATGAAGGGGCATGAAAGAAGATCCCCAAAACACTTGAAATATATACAACACCTCACGCTACACAAGCGTGCCAGACTAACAAAAGCCATGCCAAAACCCAAGGGAGAAAAAGAGAATGTCTGCTAGTTGGGAACACACCAGAACCTAGTCATGCTACCAATGTAAAGAAGACCCGAATGCAAAGAAGCAGGGTCCAACAATGAGGCGTAAGCTGGGTCACGAAGGTGGAATGGAAAAGTGTCTCAAGAGCAGAAAAAAGAACACGAATTCTTTCTCAGTATTTTATCACTATAAATTTCTTCTACCTTTATAGGTTTTGGACGTCGCTTTCATTTGAAAATGTAACACTCGAGGCTCTGTTTTTATTGGTCCTGTAGAGGGTATCGTGGTATTATATGTATTACAAGATATGCTGACTTTGAGGATGGAATATGCTACTCAATTTGCTTTGATAAAAATATATCTAGTTAACATACTACTATACTGTAATATTTAATAATTTTTGTTTCATTATTTTAGGGAAAATAATTGATATTATTATTAGATTGATGAACAGTAGGAATGTTACCTTTTGATGCTATGCATTACAATTATTATTATTTATTTTCAGTAACGATGTAGCCTTATATTGGCGTCTAGTATAATGGCATGAGTTTGAATTTAAAGATGATGACAAAAGAGGATGATGATTTGGAGGAGGAGTTGCGTTGCCTTGACATCCGTGAGGATCTTGGGGCAGATGACAGTGATGTCACGCCTACAAACACGCCTCCAACTTCTCCCCCAATTCTGTACATCAAGAAATATCCTCCAAACAACACAAATTATGAAGACTTCCAGGACTGTGGAAGGTAGAAATAAATGTTTTAAATTCAGGACATTGTTTTGAAATTAACTACTGTTGTTAATGTACATTAATTTAAAGCTTACTTGTATTAGTTTTAATAATAAAAATATTAATGTTTTTATATCTCAATTTTTAAAAAGTTTCATTCCCAGATTATTTTTAAAACATATTAAATGTAAAATGCACAATTTTGTTATTGGATGTAGATTATCTCTTGAATTTTGGAAACTGCCAATTATGTCCGTATGCAAAATGGATCCCATACGTATTTTATTGGCAGTGGTGGAAGGTTATAAAGTATACCATACCCATCCTTTGGACAGTGAGAGATGGATAATATGGATGCTATACCCTACCCAGTTTGTGGTGTTGAAAGGTTATTATAGGCCTCGTACCCATTCGTGTGTGGTCGTGGAAGACAGTTGTGGACTCCGTGCTCAAACTGTGGGCAGTGACGGTATTTTACTATGAATCTTATAACCATCATGTGGGCAGTATTGGCAGGTTACCCATCCCTGTGGAATGTGGTTGAAGGCTATTATGGACCACATATCATGTGGAGGGTGACAGTAGGCATTTATTGAACCTGTAAACCATGTTGCCAGGAGTGACAGAAAGCATGTAGTGCCGTTGTGCGACTCCGCTGAAACATTCTCTGCATTTGCAGATCTTCGATGCCACAGGCATGGTCCATTTTGGTTGAGCATGCTGATACATCAGTAGAAAATGGGAAGTTGCAGCTAAGTGGTGTGAAACTTTATACTAAGAATTGTACTTCAAATGAACTTTCAAGATACTATCACGACCTCGGTGTAGAAATTTCTCGGTTTGGACTGAGTCTACAGCAGAGTCTGAGCAATGGCCAAACCTGGGTATGAAGCTTTGTACATCTTCATGATTAATTTGAACCTGAGGGCATGTCTGTCACAAGATGCAAAGGTCAAAATCTTTTGACTATTTGCAGGCTTCTCTCCTGAATTGACCAACCTTGAAAAGGGATGTGTTATCTCTTAATATCTTATTCATTAGATTACATTCATTTGTTCTTTTTTTTAGGGTTCATTATTATGGTAATTTGTAATTCCCTTCTGATACATTGGATTTGTATTGTTTCAGATATCATGTAATGAACTAAGTTGGAAAAAAGCTGGAAAACCTGATTCAAGTAGTGTGTGTGATTTATCACCATTCAGTTCAAGGGACTTTTTAAATTTTACACTACGTTTAATTAAATACCCGCAAACAAAGTTTTCTATACTAAATCTAAAGGCATTGAATGATTACATATGTAAAGGATACATATTGAGGGTTTTGCACACTTCGGCAAAGGAAGAGTGCTTGAGGTCACTCTTGGCATGTGTTCGGGAATAATAACGAACAACCATGTACAGTACAAGTGCATGAAAATGCCGTTTCCTGTACAGCAGCTCCTTTTCTCTGAAATTCAGACTTAAAAATAATAAATATTATGTGGGCATGTAAATAATAGTTGTGCACAACAAAAATTATGTTAATTTATGTTTTTTGTAGCACAAGTTAGTGTTGATAACCCAGAGACTGCAAAATGTTAAAATGTCATACTGCAAAAAATAATACAGTATATTTGGTCTATTTGGTCCTTACAGATTTGGTTCATTATTTAGAAGAATCTATTTTATAAGAGTTCAAGATTTTTTAGGGTAAATTGTAATTGTAAGGAATATTTTAAAGAAATTTTGGCAAGTGTCATATGATGGATTAACAATTGATATTTCAACAGATATTCAAGACAGGAAGAAAGTGATAGCAGAACTGAATCGTCTTTATCATGGGGTGATGATGAATTTGAGGGAGAAGCCACGAGACAAGTGGGTATGCTCTTTGATCAGCTCGATAGTCTTCTTTATAACGAGCAACTGCCACTCTCCCCCGTACCATATTCCTCAGAGTTTAGCAACGCTGACAATTTGTCAATAAGACGATTGTCGGATTCCCATGTGAAGACAATTAATGATGTAGAGGATTCACCATCTAAAGAAGATTCGGAAGAGTCGATAGGAATATCGGATGTATCGAGAACTACAACAGTGAGCCAAAGAGAGAATGCCTTTGATGTGGCACAAGTTGCTCCAACAGAAATTCTATATAACAGCAGTAGTTTATTGAAGTCCAGTCCAAGATTTAACATAGTTGCAACTCTTGAACCAACAGCAGAATTACAAGAGGAATGCTCAAGTTGGGTTCAACATTTCCCACACTTCAGGTAAGATTACTGGCAGTTGTATATTGAAGTGCACAGCTTATGCACAATACCAAGATTTAGTGTAACTGGCCAACTCCTCGTCCTGTTTCGACAGTAACTATTGTGACGGTCGTCAATAGTCACGAATTCGTACGTATTTAGCTTTTCGATAGTGGTATACTGACTAGTAAGGAATCCTTTTAAAATAAATGAAGCTAAAACACAAACCGGTTTCCCATGTTGTTTGCCCTGTCGAAAGAGCAGAGCTCAACCCCCGCAAGCACAACTAGGTGAATACATGGGCCTTGTGCCCTGGGGTCTCCAGATGTTGTACTTTGTGGCCTGAGTCCTAGGTGTGTGGGGCCCTGCCTTTGTTATGGGTATCTGAAGTGTTTCCTTCATGCTGTGATTATAGTTCGGGAACTGCAGCCTTTTAGGATGTCTGCCATTGGCCTTTCTCTTTGTGATTTTTGAGTTGTGCTCCTTGGAGAGTTCAGGAAGCGAGACGCTGGCCGCTGGGTTCTGTGCATCGGTCGTCTGTGTTGGGGTATCTAGGGTTGTGTGTTCTTCTTCCGTCCTGCTTGTCCTGATCATCCAGTTCGGCTGCCCTTGTTGGTTTGGTTTGCGCCCCTGCCAACTGGGTTGGGTTCTCTGATTGTCTACTTTCTCCCTTGTTTTCTTGATGGCTTGCTTTGTTTGTCAGGAATGTCATCAGTTTCTGTTGTGGCCTGTTTCACTTTTTCCTTCAGTCTGCTGTTGGATGTGTTGGCCGTCTGTTTTGGACGCTGTTTCTCATGGTTACTGTTTAGGTTGCAGGGCACTTTACCTGGGCTGAGGTGTTTCCTTTCTGGCAGTGGGTTTACCAGTTGGCCTTCACCATACTGTATTGGGTTCTTTAACTTCTTTGTGGTCCTGTCTAGCATGGCAGTTCTGGTGTAGTGTGACCTAGTTTTACTCGCCAATTTTGTGCTTCTTGGGGGTTTGGTCCAGACGGTTGATCTGGTTTGGAGTGTGTTCAATTGTCACCTTTTTTGTGTCAGCGGTGGTACTGACGTGCCTTTGGCTGCTTTTTCTGTGGGTCTGTGGCCTTCTTAGTGCAGTCAAATTAGTATTTAACTTTAATATTTAGAATGATTAGTTGAAACTTTGGGGATTTGTAAATGATGTCGGGGGTAACTTATTTGGCAGTCCTACATTCTGTTTATAAGTGAATATGACTCAAAGAAGGCAGTACAGAGCACTACTTGGTTCCCGAACTTTAGTTATCCGAAACTTCCTGTTTCCCGATTGGTGTTGGGGAGTCACGTTACACGAACTAAGTTCGGGTAGGAAGTAGTCCGCCAAGCTTCACGCCGGCCGGGGTTGAGGTTACCCTACACGAACCAAGTTTGGGTGAGGAGGCGGTCAGCCAAGCGTCGTGCCGGCCCGTGGTGGTGGGTGGGTGATGGTTTAGTTTGCTCACTGACCGTGACGGGCGCCGCCGGCTACCCTGTGACGTCACAGACTCACGGCCTATTGTTCCCATTGTTTGAATTTGTCACGAGACTGGAGTGTTCATTCCGTGACTTTGTTTTATATATCAGCACAATCAAGGAACATCCGTGCACCATGTCGGCTCCAAATGCACGCATTGTGTCAGTGAAAGCATCTACAAGCGGGTTACGTAAAAGAAAGAGGTCAGTGATGACATTTGAAAAGAAAGTTGAAATAATTAAGAAGGTGGAGAGCGGTGTCCCGAGAAGCGTCGTGTGCGCTGAATATGGCATTAGTAAAAGTACTGTTTTTGATCTTCTTAAGGCTAAACCTATCATTTTTTACTATTTCTCTAGAAGTGAAAGTGATAAAGCAATACGAAATAGAAAGGTAGTAAGTAAAGCAAAAGTGGAGAGTGTTGGTAACGCAGTGTGGGAGTGGTACAAACAGAGACGTGAAGTGACGAAGAAGCCAGTGGCAGGCTGGCTGCTCGTGGAAAAGGCGCGTGAATTTCACCAAGCAATGAAAATTACTCAAAAGTGTGTATACAGTGATGGATGGCTCAGAAGTTTTAAAGCCCGATATGGCATTAGGTTCATTAAAGTGCATGGTGAAAGACAATCTGCTGATATTGTTGGTGCTGATGAGTATGTGAGTAAATTTGCGGAGATGGTGCAGGAACAAAATTTATCTCCAGAGCAAATTTATAATGCTGATGAGACAGGTTTGTACTGGCGTATGCTTCCCACAGAAACGATGGCTCATAGTGGTGAGGACGATCCTTCAGGTGGTTATAAACAGAACAAACAGAGAATTTCTTTGTTGTGCTGTGCAAATACAGCTGGCACGCACAAATTAAAGTTACTTGTGATTGGAATTAGTAAAAACCCCAGGGCTTTAAAGTCAGCCAGGTGCCTCCCTGTGATTTATAAGGACCAGCCAAGTGCGTGGATGTCTCGAGTAATATTTGTCGAGTGGTTTAATAAGAACTTTGTACCCGAGGTGAAGGAGCACCTGAAAAGTGTTGGTCTCCCGCAAAACAGCAAAGTTGTGCTGCTGCTAGATAACAGTTCAACGCATCCACGAGGTGATGAGCTTATAAATGGCAATATTATTGGAACGTTCTTGCCACCCAATACAACCTCAGTGATCCAACCCATGGATCAAGGAATAATTAAGAACCTTAATCACCACTACAAGAGGATGTTTGCCAGACGTCTTAACAATCAGCTTGGAACACTTAAGGACTTTTATAAAGTCTTCACAATAAAGTCAGCTATCTGGACTATTGCTAGTGCATGGGATGAGGTAAAGCAGACAACACTAAGAAATGGTTGGAAAAAACTTTGGCCCGCGTCAAGTCTGTTTCCTGAGGAAGATGACGAGGCAGATTTTGAAGGATTTGCGGTGAAGAAAGTTAGCGAGAAGAAAAAATTAAGAGAGGAACTCCTAGCCTATGTCAAGGGGATTAAGTCCCCTGAGATTAGAGCAGAACTGGTGACTGAAACAATAGAAGATGACATAGATAGATGGATAGATTTTGATGAAGAAGCCCCAAACAATCGAAACATGACAAATGATGAAATTATAGAATTAGTATGTACAGTACAGCAAAAAAGCCAGACGAGTGCAATGAAGAAGATGGAGAGGAAGAGGAAGAGGATGAAGAAACGTTAAAGGAAAAATGTGATATGGAAAAAGTTCAGCAAAATTTTGAATAAATTCTGGCATTTATGGACACGAATTACAGCGAGTTTGAAACTAAGGACATGATGAGTCTGTACAATATGTATATGAAATTTTTAAAAACAAGAGCCAAGGGAATGAAACAAATGTCAATTACAGAGTCTTTTGCAATGGCTTCCCAGAAAGCTCGCATTGCATCACCTGCACCTGACTCATCGCATGTTGACCCAGTCAACCCAACAACTTCAGTCAACCCAACACCATCAACATCCACCACCACCTCTTCCATGTAAATAACTATTCTTCATCAACATCGATCATCAACATAAGCGGATCAGGACTTCAATTATTGGTGAGTACAAACAAAATACGCTATGAACCTGTCGATTTTTTCCCCTAGATTTTTTCACAATTTTTGTATAATTTTTTTCCTCCATTTCTCGTATAAGAACTTACATGTTAACCGACGGGTCTCGTCCCCAAGGGGTACGGAAACCAAGTGGTGCTCTGTATAGTGTTATATTCGTCTACAGTATTGTAACACTTAGCACAATCAAATCTGTTCATAGTAGGAAAGCAACATGTAAAGGTTCTGGGAATAATGATGTTTGACGACCTAAAGTTTAGGGAGCATAACCAAGCAAATATAGTACAGTATCGGGAAGACAAATGACAGGAAGTATTATGAGAACCTTCAAATCCAAGGATCCCATCACAATAATAATAATAATTCACCGTGTCAAGTTACCGACCCCGCCCAGGATGCAACCCCACAACAAGCCGACTAACTCCTGAGTACCTACTCACTGCTAGGTGAACAGAGGCATTAGGTGAAAGGAAATGTGCCCAACTATATATGTCCTGCCCGGAATTCTCGATTGTGCGTCGAGACCGAACCCGACTGTACTACCAGGCCCCTAAACAATAGTTGTACTATTCAAATTACTTGTGCTGTCTAGTCTTGAGTACTGCTCAATACTCACTTTTTCTCTGCAGAGCGGACAGATTGTTGAAATAGAGGGAATACAGAGAACATACACATCATACATAGACATGATACAGCATCTAAATTATTGGGATCGTCTCAAAGCTCTCCAAATGTACTCCCTACGAAGGAGACGAGAGAGGTATCAAATAATATACACGTGGAAAATACTGGAGGGCCAGGTCCCAAAGTTACACAGTAAAATAACAACGTACTGGAGTGAACAATATGGAAGAAAATGCAGAATAGAACCATTGAAGAGCAGGGGTGCCATAGGCACAATCAGAGAACACTGTATAAACATCAGAGGTCCACGGTTGTTCAACACCCTCCCAGTAAGCATGAGAAATATTGCCGGAACAACTGTGAACATCTTCAAGAGAAAACTAGATAGTTTTCTTCAAGGAGTGCCTGACCAACCGGGCTGTGGTGGGTATGTGGGCCTGCGGGCCACTCCAAGCAACAACCTGGTGGACCAAGCTCTCGCAAGTCAAGCCTGGCCTAGGGCCGGCGGGGGAGTAGAAGTCTACTAGAGTAGAGTCTACTTCTTGGGGAGTAGAAGAACTCCCAGAACTCAATCCAGGTACAATCCAATACAGTTCCTGAGCTTGAGCACCAGAGAGCTACTGAGGACCTGTCAAAAAGGGTGTTTCATTACATTTACTGTTTGATTTATTCATAATGAAATGGCAATGCAGCTTTTCTGGAAGACTTATGGATATAGTTTTACAGCAATAATTTCTTGACATCTGTAAGAAATACCCAGGCAGGTGAGAGCATTTTCATCTTGTGTTTTAATTAAGGTGTTAATTAGTGTGTTAGGCCATTAACACATTGGGTAGAATTAACGCTAACCAATGTTAAGCTCGAGCATTCACAACATCACAAAGATGATGTACTAAATTGCCCGAACTTAAGCTAACTTTATTATCGCAAAATGCAATAGCCCGCCAATTTTGTGAACTGCTATGATTTATATTGCGATGTTGGGGATTTTTACGTCAAAACTCGTGTATGGTGTATTATTTGAGAGGAGAGGTAGTTAATTAGCAAGCTAGTTTTTCATAATGCATACAGTTGAGTACAGTACACCAGTTGATTGACAGTTGAAAGGTGGGACCAAAGAGCCAGAGCTCAACCCCCACAATCACAAATAAGTGAGTACAGTATTTTCAACTGGTTCTGTGTGCCTATTTATTTCATATTTCATTTTGGCTGAAATCATGAGTGCATGATTCCATGATTTTTTAATTTAAATTCATGATTTTTTTAAATTGAGATTTAATTTACAGGGTAAGAGGACGCAGCTTGAGTAATGAACTACTAAGTCTTCTTGAAGAATGTATGGCTGGAGGCAGTGCGTGAGTGTTATTACACATCTTGTTGAATAACGTTTTGCATGTTGACCAGACCACACACTAGAAGGTGAAGGGACGACGACGTTTCAGTCCATTCTGGACCATTCTCAAGTGGATTGTGTGGTCTGGTCAACATTCTTCAGCCACGTTATTGTGACTCATCGCCTCCAACTTTTTGCATGCTTTGGATGTGGCAACATTTGTTTGGCCGTTCTATACTGTGGGTTGAAATGCAGTCAAAGACTAAATTTTTTAAATTTGCATTTTTTAGTTATATTTCTATTAAGAAAATTTGTATTCTTTCCAGCTGTCATTTCAATATTATGTTGCATTTTGTTTAAAGTATCTAATGAAGATGTATAAAATAATTATGTATTTTCTTAAAAAAATATTAGTTTTTAGTGGTGTGGGAGGATTATTCAAATGTTCGATCATTACTACATCTCTGATCACAATTGAAACTGAGGTGTTTGGACTGAAAGAGGTCAAGTATAATATGACAACAAAAATTGGGATATTAGTTTCTTTGGAATATAGGGAGCCGGTCGGCCGAGCGGACAGCACGCTGGACTTGTGATCCTGTGGTCCTGGGTTCGATCCCAGGCATCGGCGAGTTTCTTTCACCCTATGTCCCTGTTACCTAGCAGTTAATTAGGTACCTGGGTGCTAGTCAGCTGTCACAGGCTGCTTCCTGGGGGTGGAGGCCTGGTCAAGGACCGGGCCGCGGGGACACTAAAAAGCCCCAAAATCATCTCAAGATAACCTCAAGATAACATGTACAATTTCCATATTTCTGATCTTATGAATGATTCTGCCATTTAACATTTTTCCATTCTAGTTTTCAAGTGTTGCATGCCTGCGTATATATTATTTATTCACTGACATTTTGATTTTGTCTTGACATCTTTTCAGATCACGGGAAAACGTTGAAGAAAAGGAAGAGGAAGAGGTAATTACAGACGATGGGGATTTTCACCACTTGTTACCTTTAGTTAGTTTTAACAGTGCCAATCAGGTCAAGAATTCTCGTAGTGATGACCAGAGGAGGGAAACTTCCAGTAGTCGAGTGTGTAGCGGATCTAACGATCCTGAAGTGTTAAAAGAACAAATCCTTATTTTGCTCTTTGACAAGTTGTGGTCATCAATGACAAAGACACTTGAGCCACTTCTTCATCAGTATGCCAAATATATTATAGAACAGTCAGTACAATATTCCTCATTATCCAGAGAGCCCAGTACCCGAGGGGCACGGTGTCAAACACCCTCGAGGAAAGTGAGTGAAGAAGTCAAACGGACAGACGCAGTGTTTCCCAAACCTTCTTATGCTGTGCAAAGACTAATCACTAGTGAAAGCAAAGGGAGCTGTGAAACCAATAGACCATTAAGTGGGATCAGAAGATCTTGTAGTGCTGCCAACAGATTACAGAGTCCTCATTTTGCACCATACAAACACCAAGAGGAACTACAAGATTTATTACAAATCTCTTCCAAGCCCCTACAAATGTACGACGATCGAGGAAGATTCAGAACGTCGTCGGCTTCAGCAGTCAGAGGCTGTTCGGCTCAGTCTATATCCCAAGTATCTCTCCCGTCTCTGAGTACTCCAAGAACTCCTGTGCACAGGCCAGTGTCATCGAAGATATATAATCATCTTACTCCTTTGCGAGTAGAGGATCCCATCAGTTATGGAGAACAAAGACCTGCATCTACCTCTTCATATTATGCTCGTACCAGGTTAGTTGTGTTACAATTCATTATGTTTCTGCCCTTGAATGTTGTTAGCTGTACAGGTTGACCAGACCACACACTAGAAGGTGAAGGGACGACGACGTTTCAGTCCGTCCTGGGCCATTCTCAAGTCGACAATCAACTTCAGAATGGTCCAGGACGGACCGAAATGTCGTCGTCCCTTCACCTTTTAGTGTGTGGTCTGGTCAACTTACTTTAGCCACGTTATTGTGACTCATCGCCTGCATAGCTGTACAGGCTCAGTGTGTCTTTTCTTCCTACTTTTATAAATTTCTGTTCAGGATGGCCTCCTGATACAAGGAGGGAGTGGAGACACCTACATTACAGCAGTTTATAGTTAGGGAACTTACACAAAATATGAAAATAATCTCTTGGGTGGTTCTGGATAGTAGACTGTCATCAGAGAACCACATAAAGAACACTGTGTGAGGAGCATATGCTATACTTTCTATCATCAGAATTGCTTTTAAATACAGTACATGGATGGTAAAATATTAAATAAACTGTTCATGATTTTTGTGAGACGAAAATAGGAATATGCAGCAGTTGTATGGTGCCATATTTCAAGAAGCACATCTATAAACTGGAAAAGATCCAGTCATGCTACAAAATTTCTTCCGGAGTTGAAAAACAAAAACTATAAGGTGTTGAATATACCAACGCTAGAAGATGGAAGAAAAACACTCGTTATGATCTCTACATACAAAATAGCAACCGGAGTTTAACGTCAATAGTTTTAAACTGTCATATGAAACAGGTACACTGGTAAGATGGAACACCACTAGCATAACTCTCACCCTGTAACTACACTTAGGGAATTACACACACAAATGCACACACTGTCTCTAAAATAAACCTCAAATAAAATCAAACCGACATTTAATATAAAAACATTAAAAATTAATAAAAATATAAGCTAGACAATACATTCATGGCTAACTTCATACAATATTTTTATTTGTATATTGTAGATTTCAAGAAAAGTTTCAGCATATGAGTCGACACGGGACTATCCAAGAGTCTTGGGGAGATAATTCAGGACTAGATGTGGAGAAGGATGACTCTTCAGAAGTTGCCAATTCTGCGTGGTCAAGACACATGCCGTTCCTCCCACCAATTACAGATAGTGGGGACACGCCACATAAAGTAAGTATGGTTAGATTCATTTGACTCTCCAGAAATGATGTTAACACTTTCGCGCTATCTGGACGCGCCGGCGCGTTCGGTTTCGTCTAACGTAAACGCATAGTGGACATAAAGTTATGTCTACTTTTAAAATATTTGTATAAAATTCAATTTTTATCCGATTTACTTTGGGTTTGTTTCAAACTGCGCGCTATGAGGCTCTCTTTCTCACCACTAGGCTGCATGGTACAATAAGTTCATGAAAGGTGTGGATAACTTCGATCAAATGGTATTTTGTCCCAAACGGGTTGCAGGTGGGTGACTTTAGCCGTTTATACTGGTAATTCTTCCCCCATATCATGTATTATATGCATATGTCTGTTTAGGGAATTTTATTCCGATCAATATACAACCAAAAATAACTGCGTGCAACAAGTATAATCTTGACAAACATAACAAAAGTAAAAAATTTTCGTGTGTGTTTGACGCTCACTGATATGTTCCAGCGTTGTTTTATATTTGTCGCTATTCTAACTTACGCTTTGTTGATATTTTTTACCTATGGGCACATAGAACATTCTATTGCGAACACATTGACATAAAAATGAATGACGTACATAGAAAATTAATGTCATGAGAGTGAAATAAGTATAAACTTTCAAAGCGCCGTGCGTCGTCCCGTCACCGATACCGGGTAACAATTTCACCACTTCCCACACTCTTGCGGGCGGGCTGCATCATTATTCTACGCTTATATTTATATCACCGTGTTGGGAATTTCATTGCGAGTCCATTGATACCAAAATTAACGCTGTAGAACAAGTGTGGAGGTGATTACAATCCCAAGAGTAAAAACATTTTGTTGCTGATGGGCGCTCACGGCGCGTCATCTACGTAGTTATTTATTTGGTGCTGGTATCCCTATATGTTTCGTGACTTATTTTACTAATGTTCTTCTAGAGAATTTTATTGCGAACACGTTGGTATCAAAATGAAATACGTAGCATGAGAACTAAGGTCAGAAGAGTAAAAAGAGTATACACATTTTTGTTTTTACGCTTAAGCGATAAAAACGCAGCGCGCACATTCGGTTGGCTGAGTGACCTTTGCGGAGAGCGCGAAAGTGTTAATTTTACTGCCAACACAAAGTGGAATCCTCCCTTTCTAGGGCACATTGCCAGTTGTCATTGGTTCCAAAAGTTAAGGGCCTTTTAAGAGGCACTTCTAGAAGCTCTTTACACTCTTCTGAGGTGGCTCTCGCAAGTTGTGAATGCATTGGCTCTGTAATCACAGAGGCAGTAATTAAACCACTAGACCTCTTTACTTGTGCAGTCTTACCAAACACCATGGCCAAAATCTGGTGTTCACATACAGCCACACCCCTTCCGTCCACACCTCATCCAGCCGCACCCCTCCGCCCACCTCATATCTATCATATCCAAATATTGGCACCTGGGATACCTCCCTTTCCCGGCTGTGATCCAAACATGGGCACCTGGGATACCTCCCTTTCCCAGTTGTGACCCAAAAATATCTTGGTTGTATTGCTCTCGACCACACCTGAAAGATGCTTTCCAATGAGAGGTTGATGAGGAAAGTTGGAAGCACATAGAAGTGCACGTGACGGATGGTGAACTACTGCTAGTGCTTGCTAATCTAGATCATATGGGCCCCTCCCCCTCCCCCTCTCTGAGTTAGCTGGACAAGCGGATTAGCAGGAATCCATGCCGAGAAGGTCCAAAAATGAACTTGTTCACAATAATTTGTTTGCACCACAACCAACATGATTCGTATTTCCACACACAATAAACATAAATTTACATGGTTAGGGTAGATTGATAAAGTCAACTTTGGCTGTTGGCTTCTATGGTTTCCTCAAGTGAAAAAAGGTCTTCTGATTTCATTCAGTAACCCGGCCGAAACTCTGTAACCCATATTTTTGTCCGAGTTTGGCGTAGATTGGCAGAGAAAACCTGGACTCAATTTTGTGCGGATCGGCCAAAGGTGGAGGTTAAGAGGGTGTAGATTAGCAAGCACCTACAGTACTGTACTGTAGTGATATGTCTTGACCAACCTCTCACCTCCTGTCCTCATTTTATTGTGATTTTTTTTTTTTTTTTTTTTTTTTTTTTGAGATATATACAATTGTTACATTCTTGTAGAGCCACTAGTACGCGTAGCATTTCGGGCAAGTCCTTAATCGTATGGTCCCTGGAATACGATCCCCTGCTGCGAAGAATCGTTTTTTCATCCAAGTACACATTTTACTGTTGCGTTAAACAGGGGCTACAGTTAAGGAATTGCGCCCAGTAAATCCTTCCCGGCCAGGATACGAACCCATGACATAGCGCTCGCGGAACGCCAGGCGAGTGTCTTACCACTACACCACTTCTACATCCCATCGTCTGCAGCTTTCCCACAACTCTCTTCCTCTGTATCTTTTATTATGGTAAATTATAATCTATATGCAGCAGACTCTGCAATGCAAGCCTACATGCACTGCAGCAGACTCCACAATGAGATCATGCATATACTGCAGCAGACTCTGCAATGAGAGCACGCATATACTGCAGCAGACTCCACAATGAGAGCACGCATATACTGCAGCAGACTCCACAATGAGAGCACACATATACTGCAGCAGACTCCACAATGAGAGCACACATATACTGCAGCAGACTCCACAAAGAGAACACACATATACTGCAGCAGACTCCACAATGAGAGCACACATATACTGCAGCAGACTCCACAATGAGAGCACGCATATACTGCAGCAGACTCCACAATGAGAGCACGCATATACTGCAGCAGACTCCACAATGAGAGCACGCATATACTGCAGCAGACTCCACAATGAGAGCACGCATATACTGCAGCAGACTCCACAATGAGAGCACGCATATACTGCAGCAGACTCCACAATGAGAACACACATATACTGCAGCAGACTCCACAATGAGAGCATGCATATACTGCAGCAGACTCCACAATGAGAGCACGCATATACTGCAGCAGACTCCACAATGAGAGCACACATATACTGCAGCAGACTCCACAATGAGAGCACGCATATACTGCAGCAGACTTCACAATGAGAGCACACATATACTGCAGCAGACTCCACAATGAGAGCACACATATACTGCAGCAGACTTCACAATGAGAGCACACATATACTGCAGCAGACTTCACAATGAGAGCACACATATACTGCAGCAGACTCCACAATGAGAGCACACATATACTGCAGCAGACTTCACAATGAGAGCATGCATATACTGCAGCAGACTCCACAATGAGCTGTGCATGGGTTGCTTCAGACACCATGAGGGAGCTGGGCTGTCATTTGGTCTCAGGACGGGTATGAGCAAGGCTCGTTTCTGCTTGGACACACGATTCATAGGGGCTCGTTATATTTGCGACGCTCTGCGGTAATTGGCTAAACTGGGGAGCTATACGGGAACTGCCCAGAAAGGGGCATTTCATCACATTTTTTTTTCATGAAGGTATATGTACAAGACTACAAGAAATTGAATTGTTATATCAACAATTACCATATTAATTGTTGATATAACCTGGGAGAGTTTTGTTAGCCATGTTGACTGTAAATATTGCCTGGGGAGAGTTTTGTTAGAGATATGTGAGATTTGTTTCTTAGATCAAGTGGGGTTGTGTCTTAAAATATACTGTATATGTACTGTGCTAAATGTAATGTGTGTAGCTGGCTATACTGTACATCAGTCATCGGTAACAAAATTATTAAAGGTAGTACAGTACATTTAATAATTTTGTACAGGCAAATAGATATGGCAGCACAGAAGATGTGGTTTTACTATAATGTACTATACCAAGCTAGAATAATAATAGTTTATTAACGTGTTATGGACTCGTGGTAGCAGCAGCACCAACAGCCACAGCCCCCGGTCATGACAGGGGAAGACCTTCAGCGGTCTGCCCTGAGTGTTAGAGGTACCATGCTCTCGGCTTCGCACCGCCCTCCTCTTTACGCCAAGTCTAGAAATCACGTTTTTGGTAAAGTATCTTACTGTATTCTTTCATTACAATGATTTTTTTAATTATTTTACCTAATCGTATTGCAAGTGGTTTATATGACCAATTCCAGAGTAGCACTTGCTCTCTGGAAGTTAATAATTTTTAGTACAACAATACTGTACTTAAACGAACAAATCCACAAGGGCCGTGACGAGGATTGAAGCCTGCGTCCGGGAGCATCCCAGACACTGCCTTATTGACTGAGCTACGACAGGGTAAAACCCCTTGTGGATTTGTTTATTTGATGCATCACGTTAGTGTGATCTCTGTGTGTGTAATACTGTACTTGTTTTAGATTAATTTTAATGTGATGAACAGTGCAGTACCAGTAGTTTATTAATAATTTTTAGCAAGTGCCATTTTCTACCTGTTGTTAGAAGTATAGCCTTAGTTTCGTAAACTGTAGTGCAAATAATAGCTTTTGGATATATAATAATAGTGGCATGTAGCTTGGTGTACTCGCCTAATTGTGCTTCAGGGGTTGAGCTCTGGCTCTTTGGTCCCACCTGGGGGACCTGAGGGGTGTGTATGTGTGGGACTCTTAGCGTTAATGATAGGGAAGGAGGCTCCGAGAAGCACAGATATCCATCCACTCTCTTGGTGCTAACATTCCTTGTTCTGTAGGGTTCAAATCTCATCTCTTGTAGTCTCCACTTGGATGTACAGTATAAGTACATGAGTACCGACCTAGTGTCGGTTATGGTGACTAGCACTCGTTAACCCATGCTTTGATATCTTCTTAGCGGTAAAGGATGAGTTCATGTGTTTAATTGTATTATAGCTCTTGTTTTCACTTTTGGGAGCCATTTAGTTACATGTCTTTACACCTTTTCCAGTATTTTGATATGTTTCATCAAAGACAATGCTTACAAGGACACTATGCTTCCCAAGTGCTGTAGTAAGCATTTGCCTGTCAAACTTCATTTCACTTTTTATATTAATTGGTTAACTAATTAATAATGAAGTTGAGCCAAGTAATGGCCTCAGCATGTAGTGGGTTTAGCTCTATTTAAACCAAATAATTCAACATTTATTACAGCAGCAAAATGAGTATTTCTGTATTGATTATTCATTTACATTTTTGTTAGTCAATAATTATAAACGTTAATATTTGTTACGTAGTTTACGGTATGTCATTTTGTCGACAGGTCCCGTCATGACTGAGGCCGGGAGAAGCAAGGAATTAACACATGCAGACGAGAAGTAAACGGGATGGGTTAAATTATGGTGTGTTGAGTATGTGGCGTAAAGGACAAGAGATATGTGCAGAAATGTGTTGTAGGTGTTTTGGTTGCTTGAAGCTACATAATTAACAGCAGTGTTATAACACTTGCTAGTCACAGGGTTTTGTATTCACGGTCACCAGTACAATAAGTTTTCACTTTTATCATTGCTTTCATTAATGGTGTTTTCTTTTTGATAATTAACAAATTAGTCAACAAATTTGTTATGCATCACTTTATCAAATGTTTATTTTTAAAAAGAGAGCTTCAGCCACCATAAGAGCCTCACATTCTTTAAGCCAACTATTTCTGCCATATCGTAATGAGTTATGTACAAGCCTTATGTACTTACCGGGTATGAGAGCAATAGTTCTTTTGTCCCACCTCTTGCTCAGTGATCAACTGCTGTAGAGGTTCCACATCCTACTGGGCTCTCATACATATCCATTTCAAGTTACGAGTATTGTAGTTTGTTTTCACCATATCCTAATGCATTCCACTTGTTCACTATCCTGACACCGACAAAAATATTGCCTCTGTGGCTCATTTCCAAGGCAGCCCAACATGGTGCCTTGTAAACAAATCCACAAGGGCCGTGATGAGAGTTCGTAGCTTGCTTCAAACACACAGCTTAATTACTTTACACTTAATGAACCATTTTCATTTTGTGCAGGTCATTCTATACTTTCTTGTCTTCCACAAAATGTGTACTCATAATCTTTGCATCGTCAATGAATATTGAAAGGAAGGAATGTATTCAATACAAGCCATAAACAAATGGAACCCTCTTGAAGCAAACATCATTTAAGCTACCTCAATTCACAGCTTCAAAACTAAGTATGACAGAACATTAGAATGTTGTGATACTTTAAAAAAAAATATATACACTTGGGTACAGTAATTACATATACACACATAGAGACACATAAGGAGATAAAGTCCTTCACAAAACAGACAGACAGAAAGAAAGAAAGATCTAGGAGTTGATCACACCAAACCTGTCTCCTGAAGCCCACATCAAAAGAATGACATCGGCAGTGTATGTGAGGCTGGCTAACATCAGAACTGCCTTCAGGAACCTGTGTAAGGAATCTTTTGGAACCTTGTACACCACATATGTAAGGCCAATCCTGGAGTATGCGGCCCCAGCATGGAGCCCGTACCTTGTCAAGCACAAGACGAAGCTGGAAAGCTCGAAGCTCGGAGGTATGCCACTAGGCTAGTCCCAAAACTAAGAGGAATGAGTTACAGGGAAAGGCTGAGTGAACTACACCTCACATTGCTGGAAGGCAGAAGAGCTCAGGGAGACATGATCACCACATACAAAATTCTCAGGGTAGACAAGGATGGATAATTTAACACGGGTGGTACATACACAAGGGAACACAGGTGGAAGATGAGTACCCAAATGAGCCACAGAGACATTAGAAAGAACTTTTTCAGTGTCTGAGTAGTTAGTAAATAGAATGCACTAGGAAGTGATGTGGTGGAGGCTGACTCCATATACAGTTTCAAATGTGTAATATGATAGAGCCCAGGAATCTGTACACCGGTAGATTGACGGTTGAGATGCGGGACCAAAGAGCCAAAGCTCAACCCCCACAAGCACAACTAGATGAGTACACACACACATGTATATACATACATATGTGAAATTGTTCATGCAATTTGTAAGACCAAAATTGGAATATACAGCAGCGGTGTGATCATATCTCCAGAAGCACATAAACTAATTGGAACGGGTTTCAAGACGTGGTACCAAGTGACTCCCGGAACACTAACTACAAGGGGAAGCTGGAAGTGTTGAACATACCAAGGTTATAAGATAGAAGGAAAAGAAGATATGATCACTACCTACAAAATTATAATGGAAATCAACAAAATAGACAAAGGCATTTCTTAAACCTGCAACTTCAAGAACAAGAGGTCATAGATTCAAGCTAAGAAACAAAGGTGCCAAAAAATATAAAGTTCTCTTTTGCAAACAGAGTGGTAGACGGATGGAGCAAGTTGCACGAGAAGGCGACGGATGCCAAAACTATCGGTAGTTTCAAAGTATTATATGACAACTACACTTGGGTAATAACAGAAAAATACAGTAGTTATTTCTGGGAGGGATTCCTCGGCAGGCACCAATGCTTAGCTCTGGTGCTACGAAGCCTTTGCTAAACACATCAGGCCTTTGAGACCCATCCCTGGCCTACCAGAAGCCAGGACCAGAATCTGGCTTACTCTACAAGGCAAGGGTAGTTTGGAGACCAGGATTGATATAATTGTGGCCAGGGGTGCTATAACTGTGGCCAGGATTGCTATAGCCATAGCCAGGGTTGGTATAACTGGCTATAGTTGCTGTAACTGTGGCCAGGGTTGCTATAACTGTGGCCAGGGTTACTTTCCCTTCGGTTGGCTTGCATTTTCATGTACCCAACAATATACCTAGTCCAAGGAGATGCAGACTTGTTCCTCGATGACTTGACTTCTTAATTCTTCTCCCTTCTGGGCAGTGAATGAGACACTTCTTGCCTGTGGGGCTTGTTCAAACCTTGTGCTATGCACACTAAAGGTTGGTCTATTGTGTTTGGCGCTGCTCCTGGTGTGAATTATGGTGATTTATCTGTTGCCGTGGGGTGTATTTGAGTAGGATACACGATTTTTTCCAATTTTTGGCTCCTGTGGCCTCCCTGGCTGAATTGGAATTTATTATTGGCTTTGTTGGGACATGATCCACGTGCCAGGCACACTTGCCTGTGTGTGAGACGGTCCAAGTAGCAGGTGGCCCTCATCGCATGGGGTTTCATGGCCTTAAATGTGTTAATGCTTTTGTCATTACAGTTTTACTTTCAGATTCCATATATGACTGTGGTTTCCAGTTTCTTAGGATGAGGATGTGCTTCAGTGTGCTTAAGACACCAATGGCATTCATATTTTTTTTTTTATTTATATATACAAGAGTTCTTACATTCTTGTAAATGTATATTGCGACGATTCACATGGCAGTCATCAACAGGAAATGGAGTGCCTCCTGGAGCTGCTCTTGTCACCAATTGGAGCCCTGTGTGGGTATTAACAAGTGATCACATTTTTGTCATTCGTCGAATGAAGAAAGAGGAACTGCAGTAAGAAGACAGACATGGTGAACAAAAACTAAAGCTGGCAGGTTTACCCGACTTCCTCCCCTCAGCTCCTCCCCACACTCATACCTGCGCCCCTTCACTGCTCCACTACAATCTCCTCCCACCACACATTCACAGCCCAACCCATACTCCACATACCATCTCTCCACTGATTATCATCCAACACCTCACTACCTTCGGGTGGTGGTATGGGTGATGGTTTGGAGTACATTAGGTAATCCTAACCATCTCCCATGTTTACATGTTTATACTAATAATAATGAGCCGTGATGAGGGTTCAAACCTATGCTCTGGTTACTTCCAAGCACATGCCATAGACAACTGGGCCACGACAGGGTAAAAGGTTTGCAATCTAGGATTCTACTGAATTCACAAGGGTTTCCCGAGGCTTCCACTGAAGCCAAACCCGGGTTTCACACAACCCCGCCATGCACTCTGACTCTGTCGTCCAGGTATTCTACCGATGAGGCTTACCTCTTTTAATGCACAGAGAAATCACAGTAACGTGATGCATCAACGAATACATTACGTGATGCATTCATTGATACATCACGTTACTGTGATGTATTGCCCAATTAACACAACTAATCAGACAATTAGCACAGTTGTACTGATTCAACCCATCCCCACCACATGTGAAATTTTGCCTGTACAGAATGCTGATTAGGCTTCTCTTAGAATATTCATGCACCTCATACAAAACAATGAGCATGTTCTTACCTAACTGAGAAGATTCCTTTGTAGGTTACAACACCACAAACTACAAAATAAATTACCAACCTCATAGGAAAGGAGGATGTCACTTCAACAGAGTCAGAAGATACGTCCACAACTGGAATTATCCAAGACCCAGAATGCTAAGTAACATAGCAAATATAGAAGAATAGGAACCAACAGCCCTATGATATAGTACCCATGAACTAAATCTCAACAATTAACATCAAAATGACAATTTATGAACAGACACGAACAAACTTCCGAATGAACTGTAAGACGACCACCACCCTCGCCACCACTAACACTCCAACTGGTCCACAATACCGAGAAACCAGTGACAGCCACCACAAAGAAAAAATATGCGAGCACAGCATATGGCATCATATGCTCTACTATTCGTCACTTCTACCATACATAAATTCACATCACAGTATCATAGTCACCCAGAAATCTAAAGTGGTTGGACCACTTTCAAGACTTCCTTCATCCTTATCCTATCCTTCCATCCGATGCTTACCAGCTCAATGGTCACTGGAATTGGAATTCCTGTTGTCTCCTTTATTCAACCTGTTGGGTTCACGGTCTTTTCTTCTGTGGTGTGTGCCATTTATCTGTCCAGAATCGTTTATAGACAGCTTGCAAGACCCTTGTTATGGAAACTTGAAAGAATCTCAAAACATAATGCTGACTTGCTCTCCCATCTCACATAACAAAGCCACAGATGCTGCACACCATTTGTTAGCGGTGAACTTCAGTTCTGGCTGTGCTACCGTCACAGGCATTTGTCTATTGGGCAGCAGCTGTGGCTGCATTGCAGGATTGGGCTTTACAATATAGGTAATTGCAGCCACTGTACACCAGGTGGGAGCCGATTCCAATTCCCCTCCGTTTCTTGAGGAAGATACGGGTGTCTTCAAACACTTGTCCTGTTTCAGCCAGCTTCCTCTGCTACTTCCGCCCTTCATAGTTGAAAAGTGTTTTGGGTTGGCTTTGGCTTGCTCAGCAGCTGTCTCCATCAGTGGTTCTGGGTCCTCAGCCATTGAGCCTGTAGGTATCCACGAGGTATTGCTTATGGGGTAATTTGGGACTACCCACTCTGTGATTGTGATGAAGACTAAAGGCCCTGAGTCTGGTCCTGGCTTGTGGTAGTGTCTTACAGGTGTTTTTAGCTGATACATAGTGGTTGACCAATCCACACACTAGAAAGTGAAGGGACGACAATGTTTCAGTCCGTCCTGGACCATTCTCAAGTCGATTGTCAGCTCAAGTCATTCACAATTGACTCGAGAATGGTCCAGGACGGACCGAAACGTCGTCGTCCCTTCATTTTCTAGTGTGTGGATTGGTCAACATACTTCAGCCACATTATTGTGACTCATCGCCTGGATTCATAATGGGACCAGAGCTAAGCTGTGCGAGCTACTTGAGGCCCACCAGAAAGAGCATTTCATTGCATTCAGGACTTTATTTTTTAATAAAAAAACCATAAGTCTTTAGTGTTAGCATCCCTGAGTGTTTGCATCCCGGTGAATAGCAAGGACCTGCTGTCTTTACAATATAAAGACAGCACGTACAGCAACATTAACGATGATTGTCATATATCTACATAAAGTTAAAGCGACAATCTTCACATAAAGCAGTGGTATAAATGTTTAGGATGACAAAAAAGCTTAGTAATTTCATCGAATTTTATTCCGAGCCAAAAAACTCTCATGGAAATGTGGATGACAACAACTGTCACCTTTATGAGAACACGTGTTTGGTCACCTTTATGAGAACACGTGTTTGGTCACCTTTATGAGAACACGTGTTTGGTTCCAGGGATCTCACTTATGCTAATGTTTATGAAGCTCTTTACTGTATTATAGAATAATATATTTTCAATATATACAAATTAAAATGCAATTGTGCAATAGTGTATATAAAAAGTGTATCTATTACTGTACTGTGTATGATAACTTACTGTATACAGGTAGTGAGAGAACGGGAGAACAGCCTGATTGATCACCTTCATCATGATGACGTCGCACTGCATTACATATGTTACCATAGCATTTATTATTGATAATTATATTTCGTATGAAATTCATACATTTAAGTCTGGAATAGCTTGACTGCCAATGTTATCAATCACACTGATGCCTCTGATTGGTTGGCAGACTTGAGAGAGATGAGGCATCGTGGGTTGGATGGTGTGCCAGACAGGCAGCCTCAACTACTTCACCAAAGAATGTGTTGACCAGACCACACACTAGAACGTGAAGGGATGACGACGTTTTGGTCCGACCTGGACCATTCTCAACAATTGACTTGAGAATTGTCCAGGACGAACCGAAACGTCGTCGTCCCTTCACTTTCTAGTGTGTGGTCTGGTCAGCATATTTCAGCCACGTAATGGTGACTCATCGTTTGCATACCAAAGAATGTGTTTTTAATTAAGTCTAAGAATAATTTTCAACAATAAATTTATTGTTTTTTTCATCCATATTTAGATGAGCATTTAGGAAATTTACAAAAACCAATAACCTGATCAAGCAAATCCTAAATTTGACTATAAGTATTGAATTTGTTGCTCCAATTGAATATCAGAAAACTTGGAACTTTAGAAAACATCTAGCTTATAAGAACCACAGAACAATACCAAAATTTAATTTTGGACATATATATATATATAATATCTTCTATCAAAGTGACCCTCTACACCTCTTAGGTGATACTACTTACCTTCCCTATGATGCAACCCCACAAAAGCTGACTTATGTCCAGGCTACCATCTTACTGCCACATGAACAGAAGGATTAGATGAACAGAACATATAAAACATGCTCAACATTTCTGTCCTATCCGGGAAGTGAAGCCGGGAGCCCAGATTTGTGACACGAGAACGAAGCCAACTGTACTGCGAGATCCTGTAAGTGAGGCCGAGAGTGAATTGGTTAAGTGATATAAGTGGGAGTGTGAGTGTGGGACATTATCTTGTTATCTTGAGGTTATCTTGGGGTTATCTTGAGATGATTTTGGGACTTAGCGTCCCCGCGGCCCGGTCCTCGACCAGGCCTCCACCCCCAGGAAGCAGCCCGTAGCAGCTGTCTAACTCCCAAGTACCTGTTTACTGTTAGGTGAATAAGTACATCAGGGGTGAAGTAAGCTCTGCCCAATTGTTTCCGCCTCAACCTGCCATCGAACCCGGAACCTCGGCACTACGAATCTCGAGCGCTGTCCACTCAGCCATCAGGCCATTACAGCAACGTGATCTCTAACTCCCCGATTGCCTGGTGACGGGTGTAGCTACACCGTCAAGCTGCCCATTCACCTCCACTCCTCCCTCCACATGTTGCACTAATTATGTAGTTGTGGTCATGGTTCCTGTGCCTTGTTCTCCCGTCCTGTGGGTGGTAGTGGACCCCATACCCATCCTGTGGGTGGTAGTGGAGCCCATACCCATCCTGTGGGTGGTAGTGGAGCCCATACCCATCCTGTGGGTGGTAGTGGAGCCCATACCCATCCTGTGGGTGGTGGTGGACCCCATACCCATCCTGTGGGTAGTAGTGGAGCCCATACCCATCCTGTGGGTGGTGGTGGACCCCATACCCATCATGTGGTGCTGGTGGACCCCATACCCATCCTGTGGGTGGTAGTGGAGCCCATACCCATCCTGTGGGTGGTAGTGGAGCCCATACCCATCCTGTGGGTGGTAGTGGAGCCCATACCCATCCTGTGGGTGGTAGTGGACCCCATACCCATCCTGTGGGTGGTGGTGGACCCCATACCCATCCTGTGGGTGGTAGTGGACCCCATACCCATCCTGTGGGTGGTGGTGGATCCCATACCCATCCTGTGGGTGGTGGTGGACCCCATACCCATCCTGTGGTGCTGGTGGACCCCATACCCATCCTGTGGGTGGTAGTGGAGCCCATATCCATCCTGTGGGTTGTGGTGGACCCCATACCCATCCTGTGGGTGGTGGTGGACCCCATACCCATCCTGTGGGTGGTGGTGGACCCCATACCCATCCTGTGGGTGGTGGTGGACCCCATACCCATCCTGTGGGTGGTGGTGGACCCCATACCCATCCTGTGGGTGGTGGTGGACCCCATACCCATCTTGTGGGTGGTAGTGGACCCCATACTCATCTTGTGGGTGGTAGTGGACCCCATACCCATCTTGTGGGTGGTAATGGACCCCATACTCATCTTGTGGGTGGTAGTGGACCCCATACCCATCCTGTGGGTGGTGGTGGACCCCATACCCATCCTGTGGGTGGTGGTGGACCCCATACCCATCCTGTGGGTGGTGGTGGACCCCATACCCATCCTGTGGGTGGTGGTGGACCCCATACCCATCCTGTGGGTGGTGGTGGACCCCATACCCATCCTGTGGGTGGTGGTGGACCCCATACCCATCCTGTGGGTGGTGGTGGACCCCATACCCATCCTGTGGGTGGTGGTGGACCCCATACCCATCCTGTGGGTGGTGGTGGACCCCATACCCATCCTGTGGGTGGTGGTGGACCCCATACCCATCCTGTGGGTGGTGGTGGACCCCATACCCATCCTGTGGGTGGTGGTGGACCCCATACCCATCCTGTGGTGGTGGTGGACCCCATACCCATCCTGTGGGTGGTGGTGGACCCCATACCCATCCTGTGGGTTGTGGTGGACCCCATACCCATCCTGTGGGTGGTGGTGGACCCCATACCCATCCTGTGGGTGGTGGTGGACCCCATACCCATCCTGTGGGTGGTGGTGGACCCCATACCCATCCTGTGGGTGGTGGTGGACCCCATACCCATCCTGTGGGTGGTGGTGGACCCCATACCCATCCTGTGGGTGGTGGTGGACCCCATACCCATCCTGTGGGTGGTAGTGGACCCCATACCCATCCTGTGGGTGGTGGTGGACCCCATACCCATCCTGTGGGTGGTGGTGGACCCCATACCCATCCTGTGGGTGGTGGTGGACCCCATACCCATCCTGTGGGTGGTGGTGGACCCCATACCCATCCTGTGGGTGGTGGTGGACCCCATACCCATCCTGTGGGTGGTGGTGGACCCCATACCCATCCTGTGGGTGGTGGTGGACCCCATACCCATCCTGTGGGTGGTGGTGGACCCCATACCCATCCTGTGGGTGGTGGTGGACCCCATACCCATCCTGTGGGTGGTGGTGGACCCCATACCCATCCTGTGGGTGGTGGTGGACCCCATACCCATCCTGTGGGTGGTGGTGGACCCCATACCCATCCTGTGGGTGGTGGTGGACCCCATACCCATCCTGTGGGTGGTGGTGGACCCCATACCCATCCTGTGGGTGGTGGTGGACCCCATACCCATCCTGTGGGTGGTGGTGGACCCCATACCCATCCTGTGGGTGGTGGTGGACCCCATACCCATCCTGTGGGTGGTGGTGGACCCCATACCCATCCTGTGGGTGGTGGTGGACCCCATACCCATCCTGTGGGTGGTGGTGGACCCCATACCCATCCTGTGGGTGGTGGTGGACCCCATACCCATCCTGTGGGTGGTGGTGGACCCCATACCCATCCTGTGGGTGGTGGTGGACCCCATACCCATCCTGTGGGTGGTGGTGGACCCCATACCCATCCTGTGGGTGGTGGTGGACCCCATACCCATCCTGTGGGTGGTGGTGGACCCCATACCCATCCTGTGGGTGGTGGTGGACCCCATACCCATCCTGTGGGTGGTGGTGGACCCCATACCCATCCTGTGGGTGGTGGTGGACCCCATACCCATCCTGTGGGTGGTGGTGGACCCCATACCCATCCTGTGGGTGGTGGTGGACCCCATACCCATCTGGTGACCAAGTTGCATGTATTACCTAGATGCGAGCTGTTAATTAAATAATTTAGCGACTACAAACCATTGCGAGCTGTTACAAATTGCTCCTTCACTGGTAGACATTTGGGAGCATTCATGTTCTCCTCTTACCATGTTGTTTGTGTGTGTTTAGGTGGGGACGCCATTAAGTTGCTGCATGCTCCGATGTTGGTCTCACGGATGTTGTGAAATTGTTTAGGAAGCCAGGAGTTTGTAGTATGAAATGGAAAACTATTTTGTCTATGTGTTATTTTGTCGTTACTTTCAGAGGTGTACTCACCTAGTTGTGCTTGCGGGGGTTGAGCTCTGGCTCTTTGGTCCCGCCTCTCAACTGTCAATCAACTGGTGTACAGGTTCCTGAGCCTATTGGGCTCTATCATATCTACATTATAAACTGTGTATGGAGTCAGCCTCCACCACATCACTGCCTAATGCATTCCACCTGTTAACTACTCCCACACTGAACAAGGTCTTTCTAACGTCTCTGTGGCTCATGTGGGTACTCAGTCTCCACCTGTGTCCCCTTGTTCGTGTCCCACCAGTGTTGAATAGTTTATCCTTGTTTACCCGGTCGATTCCTCTGAGGATTTTGTAGGTTGTGATCATGTCTCCCCTTACTCTTCTGTCTTCCAGTGTCGTAAGGTGCATTTCCCGCAGCCTTTCCTCGTAACTCATGCCTCTTAGTTCTGGGACTAGTCTAGTGGCATACCTTTGGACTTTTTCCAGATTCGTCTTGTGCTTGACAAGGTACGGGCTCCATGCTGGGGCCGCATACTCCAGGATTGGTCGTACATATGTGGTGTACAAGATTCTGAATGATTCCTTACACAGGTTCCTAAACGCTGTTCTGATGTTAGCCAGCCTCGCATATGCCGCAGACGTTATTCTCTTTATGTGGGCTTCAGGAGACAGGTTTGGTGTGATATCAACTCCTAGATCTTTCTCTCTGTCTGTTTCATTAAGTACTTCATCTCCTATTCTGTATCCTGTGTCTGGCCTCCTGTTTCCACTGCCTAGTTCCATTACTTTGCATTTACTCGGGTTGAACTTCAACAGCCATTTGTTGGACCATTCACTCAGTCTGTCTAGGTCATCTTGTAGCCTCCTACTATCGTCCTCAGTTTCAATCCTCCTCATAATTTTTGCATCGTCGGCAAACATTGAGAGGAACGATTCTATACCCTCTGGAAGATCATTTACATATACCAGAAACAGTATAGGTCCAAGGACTGACCTCTGCGGTACTCCACTCGTAACGTCTCGCCAATCTGAGACCTCACCCCTCACACTGACTCGTTGTCTCCTGTTACTTAGGTACTCCTGTATCCAACGGAGTACCTTCCCTTTCACTCCAGCCTGCATCTCCAGTTTTTTCACTAGCCTCTTGTGTGGCACTGTGTGCGCGCCCGTGCGTGTGTGCGCGCCCATGCGTGTGTGTGTGAGCCCGTGCGTGCGTGTGTCAGCCCGTGCGTGTGTGTGTGTGCGCGCCCGTGCGTGTGTGCACGCGCGTCTCTGGCTCTCTCAACTACAACTTTCTCACACACCCTGTAACCCTGCCCGACTGCCGCCACCCTGATGGTCACTCTGCCACCACCCTGATGGTCACTCTGCCACCACCCTGATGGTCACTCTGCCACCACCCTGATGGCCACTACCAGCACCCTGATGGTCACTACCACCACCCTGATGGTCACTACCACCACCCTGATGGTCACTACCACCACCCTGATGGTCACTACCACCACCCTGATGGCCACTACCACCACCCTGATGGCCACTACCACCACCCTGATGGCCACTACCACCACCCTGATGGCCACTACCACCACCCTGATGGTCACTACCACCACCCTGATGGTCACTACCACCACCCTGATGGTCACTACCACCACCCTGATGGTCACTCTCCCACCACCCTGATGGTCACTACCACCACCCTGATGGTCACTACCACCACCCTGATGGCCACTACCACCACCCTGATGGCCACTACCACCACCCTGATGGTCACTACCACCACCCTGATGGTCACTACCACCACCCTGATGGTCACTACCAC